GTGGACTGGTATGTGGATATTTTCAAAAAGCTTGAAGCTTGGAGACTCGGGTGTAACATACGTACTTTTAATTATCAGTGAAATAAAATGCAGCCTCATACTTTAGGAGAAGAAGTACACTTCCTTTGTGGCGTCCTTGCCCTGCGGCACCAGGTTTTTCACATACATTGTCTAGCTTATCCCCAGTATAACTTTTCCTTTTATAGATAGTGCAGTTATGGTTCATAGCAGTAGATGGACTTGCACAGTCATAAACTTCTTGAACTTTGGCAGATTCTGGATGTATACCTAGTTCTGTTTGCTTCTAGTATCCACATTTATTTCTCTGTACTGTATGCCTCCTCCCTCTTTGGAATGGCACACTTGTGTCAGTAACTAAAGGAAGAAGTTTCAAAGTCTGAAATGTAATATTCTCAGGCCAGGGAGAAATTCTTACAGCCTAAGAATAATTCTTGTGGCTTTTGTTAGTTCCTAAGTCCTTTCTTGCTAAGAAATTTTATATGTAAAAAAACCCAAAAAGCTATTCAAATATCCTAATGGAAATTAGTAGGAAACAAAATTCATTTAGAATAATCTGCATATTATAATGTCCTAGCTCTTAGAGAGGGAATAATCTGGAAAAGACATTTTCGATGCTACTACCACCATAACTCTAATTTCATAATGATGGAGATTTTTTTTCCTACTACTATTATGTGGAAAACTTGTTAAATATGCATAGCTTTTAAGAACCTCAAGTCCTCTACTGTATGGTAATTTCATATGCTTATTTTCCTAGTTAACTAGTGGAGCTGTGTGGGTTCAGTTCAATGATGGATCGCAGCTGGTTGTGCAGGCAGGCGTTTCTTCTATCAGTTATACATCACCAAATGGTCAAACAACTAGGTAAGACTGGAAATGCTGGTTGAAATTTAGCCCTCTGCTATGATTTTACCTTCCCTATATGTTGAACTAAGTGATTTAATAAATTTAATGTTTTCATTTTGGCAACAATCATATTCTTTAAAGCTGCTGTTATTCTTAACAACAGCTTTAATAATACCCATTTTTGTCTATAATACCCATTTTTGTCATTTTCTAAAGCAGTTGGAATGAATAATCTTAAGTGGTTAGAGTTCTTTTAACATTATTTCAGAATTTAAATAGATTGACCCTTTTAGATTTTGATTTTTAAGTTCAAAGCAATACATCTAAAATTACAGGAACAGACAAGAAGTCTTTCTTTTAGAGATTACCTGATTTATTTCCCACAAATGAAAGGCAAGATCCCTAATGTAAAGGGATTAATGTTGGAAAGACTTTTTTGAGTGTAAGCTATTGGCCTCATTGTATCTGCAGAATCTATATCCAAGGATTCAACTAATTGCAATTGAAAATATTTGAAAAAAGAATTGTGTCTGTACTGAACAGTGCTTTTTTTCATGTCATTATTCTTTTTTTTTTTTTTTTTTTTTGACAGGCAGAGTGGACAGTGAGAGAGAGAGACAGAGAGAAAGGTCTTCCTTTTGCCGTTGGTTCACCCTCCAATGGCCGCCGCGGCCGGCGCGCTGCGGCCGGCGCACCGCACCGATCTGATGGCAGGAGCCAGGAGCCAGGTGCTTTTCCTGGTCTCCCATGGGGTGCAGGGCCCAAGCACCTGGGCCATCCTCCACTGCACTCCCGGGCCACAGCAGAGGGCTGGCCTGGAAGAGGGGCAACCGGGACAGAAGCCGGCGCCGCTAGGCGGAGGATTAGCCTAGTGAGCCGCGGCGCCGGCCCATGTCATTATTCTTTAAACAATACAGTTACAACTATTTTCATGATATTTACATTATAGTAGGTATTATAATCTAGAAATGACTTAAGGTATATAGGAGGATAAGCATAAGTTATATGCAAATACTATGCATTTTGAAGAGAGACTTGAGCATCCACAGTTTTTATATCCTTGGGGTGTCCTGAAACCAATCCTGCAGATTTCTACAGATGGCTATATATTCATTTATATGAAAATTTGGGGTAGGCACCATGCTAAAAATAAGGAATTTGGCCATGACTTGCTTTAAAGAGGTGTGGTTCTAAAGATGCCAGTATAAGCATGCTACTTCATGAGCAGTGGAAATATTATGGGTCTTTAAAAAGTTCGTGGAAGATGTGTATTCTCAAAAAATTATGCATGGGTCATTTCTGCACCAAAATAAATGTCTCTTTATTCATTTTCTGTGAACTTTTGGAATTTCCTTATACTTGGGAGAAATAGTTTGTGAATAGCTGCCAAGTGCTTTTTTGTTAAATGTATATTTCTGCAGTACCATCACTTAAAGAACTACTTTTACAGAGAGAGGCTTTATTAAAAGCAGTTTCACATTCTTTATAAAGTGTCTATCATTGATTTTAGAATTAGGAATTCAGATTTTCAGCTTATTTTAGTACTGATTAAACCACTTTAAGTTTCTTTATCTAATTTTCTTTATGTTTAAATGATTAGAAATTGGTCTACTTTTAAAGGAATCATGTTTAAGAAAGAACTTTGTATAATTTTTCTACAGTGTCTTATTGAAGATTTACTGAAAAGTGTAAGGTACTTTTGGTATTCTAATAAGAAATAAGAAATTAAGTTATGTTTTTTTCTTTTTTCTTTTGTTTCACTTAGGTATGGAGAAAATGAAAAGTTACCAGAATACATCAGACAGAAATTACAGTGTCTGTCTTCCATCCTTTTGATGTTTTCTAATGCAACTCCCGGTTTCCAATGATTAAAACTCCTCTCAGATATATACATATGTTTAATAAATAACTTTTTTGTTGGCTTTCAAATAAAGTTACTTTTTATTTAATATAACTTCTTCAGAAAGCCTTTCTGTAAAAGATCATTTAATCTACCATAAAGGTTGTATTCTGAGAGAACAGAGTAGAATGAAATTTGAGTCACTTATCAAATATTGTGCCCATAGAATAAAATAGGACACCAAACTTTGCTCTTAGAACATACTCTCAAATTTTGTGTTCATATATTTGTATTGAATAATTTTTTAAAAAGAAAAATATGCACAGTGTGTGGTGTATTTGTGCTATCATTGTTTCCTCTACTTCTCAGACATGTTGAGAATCATGGACAAACATGCTGGAGTTTTTGAATTTTTGAACTTGTAAATAATGTGTATTTTTGTTATAAGTAAATATGTAAACGTGTATATTTGTTTTATATTTATTTTTGTAGCACCAGTGTCTGATGAAACATTTCTGCAAATGCATTTTATAAAAAATAAATATGGCAATGCTACTTTATCTTTTGATTTATTTAATTAAATACTTGTTTTAAAGTGAGTTACTAGACAACCTATTTTTACATTTTCTTGCCTGTTTTAGGGAAAGACAGATTTTTTTTTTCAGTTGATGCAACTCAGTAATTTTTATTGCAACTGGAAGACAATACATCACAGAAATTTTATGGTATACCTGGGGAAAACTGTTATTTACAATAAACAATGAAATAGTTTGGGGAAAGATTTTAAAAAAAACTAATTTTGTAAATGTTAAATGTACTGCTTCTCCACTCTTATATCTGGAAATCTATGCATATTTTAGACAAACATTTCAACACATTGTAAGTTAATGATGGAATTAACATGAAGAAAAATATTTGATAAAAAACCATTCCTAATGAAAAGAATAGAATGAAACTACTTAAATATGATAAAGACTGTTCAACCTAATGTTTTCTGCTGGTTTTTATAATCAGGGAAGTATTGAAGCTATTTCTATCCAGCTGACAGTGTCACAGTTGTTCAACATTGTTTTGGAGGATTTGGTCGCAGGGGTGGGGAACGTCTGTGAAACATAAGGCCTGCAAAATCATTTGGTGTGGCCCTGCCACACAAGTCCGCAGGAGGACTTGAAATTCAGTAAGTCTATAGCAGGCTAATTTTTTTAAGTTGATAATTTTGTATGCCCACAAATGATGTTACAAATATCCAAAAGAAGAAACCCACATGTGGCCAACAAAGAGGAAATGTGCTCAGTTTCATTAAAATTGGGGAAATGGGAAACTAAAACAAGATAATCATTTCCTTTTAATCAAAACAATTAGTAGAAGTAAATCTCTTTGGAACATGTTATAGAGATGGGCCTGCCAGAATTCTTCCCTGCCTCCTTTTCACATACAGCCAGTGCATTTCCAGAAAGGATGCATGGCCCACACCTGGGTTGGTGGGGGATTCCATCCACTTTCTCTCTGGTCAGTTCAGGGATTGGTGTGTAAGTTAAACCTGGATACTTCTAGTTTTTCTGGTACATCTGCTCTGGAATTGTGGCGAGCCTTGGGCTGCCAGTGCCCCTCTTCCCACAAAATGGAAGCATCTGAAAATAAAGTCAAGCAGAGGCATACAGAATCCATAGAAAAAGTATCTTGATGACACTATTTGATCTCCTAGCTCCAACTATGCCTAAAGTTAGAATTCCTAATTCTGACTTGGATTTGAAGGTGTCCTGATACTTAGAGCCTACTTGGCCTTGTACTGTTCCCTTTTTAACCTCAAGTAATTTGGCCCTTCTCACCATATTCCAGCCATCTTGGACCTATTTTAAATCCTGCAAAAGCTTCAAGATTGTCCCATGTCTAGGGCTTTACATGTACCCAGCCTTCTGCTTGCACTTGTCCCACTCTTCACCAATCCAAATCATTGTCTTCCTTCAGATCATAGTTAATCATTACTTGAAGAAACATTTCTGGACTTTCCTGTTTGGTCAGTTTCCTGTTAGTTATTTTCACTCTCACAGCTCCCTATACTTCTCTTTCATGGCCCTGCCCTCAGCCACAATCATCTGTGTCATCACGTGACTCACTCAAGCCTGACTTCCCTACTGGCATGAGGGCACAGGCTCTGCATTTTGTTTACTGTTGTTTCCTCAACAGTTACATGGTAATTGACACATCACTTAGTGGGTGGCCTCTTGGATATGTATTTTTTTTTGACATTGGATATGTATTAAAAGTCTGAATAAAGTTTTAAGGCTTAAGGTACATTTAAATCTTATTTATTAGAAAATGAGCATTTACAATGTTAAAATAAACATTAAATTACAAACAAGTCTGCAACAGTCAAAAAATAGTACCCAGAATTTCTTCTCAAAATAATCTATTCTGGAACAGCTGCAGATAAAAGAGTTTATCGTCATTAAAATGAAATTTGCATATAGCATTACTTCACTTTATGCAAGAGGAAAGTGTTACATGAATTGAAAATTCATTTTAAATGTACACAAATGAAGGAAAACAGAATGGAGATGCACTGTGACATTATATACCCCTTCATGAAATGAAGATTATCCTTCTCAAGTTTCAGCTTAGGTTTTCTAAAATACATCTTCTTTTACTATTCTTAAGACTTTCAGGCAATTCCTCCCTTGGAGCACCACTCCTGACTGCTGTGACAGGAAGTGTCTCAGGAAACTTTAGTAACAACTCTCACTTTGCTCACTAGCAAAATAATTTTTCCCCATACTTTGAGGTGTCCTATCTTTTTAAATTTATCCTCAAGACCTCAACTGCTGTTTTTACTCAAACTAACCTCCCTGCTCTCTTCTCAACCTCATGTCACTTCCTGATCTGTATCCTTTTGTAAGAAGATTCAATGATGTAATCCTCTGAAGAAGGCACTTTCAGTAAAAAGATGACCAGTCATTTGTGCAAAGTTATGGTTTATCTTATTTTAAATGAATATTATTAATCTTCCTAGGTTGGGAAACTTCTATGTAGTATTTTTGCTGGAAACAGAGTAACTATTATGCTAAGACAAAAACCAGTCAGTACATTTAAAATTGTATTTCCCAAATATTTCTGTTCAAAAGGAATCATAGGTACAGGTAAGTTAATTTACCCTAAAATTAGTAGTTGTCTGATTCTGCAACTTTCTGGGCTATTTGTCCCAGTATCAGAAACACAGTGGTAGTGGTTAATAGTGGATTCTGCAGAGACTTATTTTGACAAATAACTTCTCAGCTGCCATTTTATCTGTCAAATGGGAACCACAGAATTAAGTTGTATATTACACATTACCAGGAATGTGAAAAGGACTCCATAAATATTCACTCTTAACATTTTCATTCTGACCACTGTTGATATTTCCACCACGTACACTGTTCCAAACCAAGGTGAAGACGGGGAAGGGAGCTGCAGAACAAGAACAGAGTCGTGCAGGTGCCAGAGAGCCGGCTGTGGTCGTGCAAAAGCCCCTGAGACACAATCTTACTGTGGGAGGTGAGGAACAGTGAGCAGCACCTTCACAATGTCATCACAGGATGATTGCTGTCAAATGAAGCCTTCGGGGAGAGCTGAAGAAACGACCTTGAAGAACATGGCAAGCTCAGTATAGCGTGCACGTGGTAGTGTTTATAACTTAAAGCAGGAACCGTGGGGACATATTTTTGTACTGTTTGTAATGGTGATTATATACATAGTTCTCTACTCTTCATCAGACTTCAACTTATGTAGAGGTAGAAATGTATATAGTGAGAGTATGATTTACCCAGCTTAAGGTAAACTGAGTAAACTGTCAGATTGAAGTCATTTTGCCTTAAATACTTACTAGTCTGATTTGATTGGGGCTATTAGGACCCATCCAAATTTAAAATCCAACAAAAATTCAGCAACTCTAAATAGATATACATATACATAGACAAGCTCAAAACTGTTGTGTTCCTCCCTGCCACTAGTGAGAGATGGGAAAAACATCTTTTCTTCAGAGTTTAAGGGAGTTAAAAAATACTAATGATTTTAAGAAACCATTTACTGTTTCGAATAGGTATGCAATAGCACGTCTGTCTTTATGTTTCTAAATAAATTACTGATTAGCACTTGAAAGCAAAAAGTAGTTAGCTCTACTAAATGTAGTGAAATCTTGATCTCTTAATCCTCTTTATTGTCAAATATCAACATTATTCTTACCCATGTTAACTTAGGGGTTAGTGAGACAATGAACTGAAATCAGGTGCAGTATGGAATTAAGACTTATGGAAGGCAACATAGGACGGTAGTTATGCTAAAAAGAAATTTTAAGGGTTTCGATTTTTGTATCATGGAAACTTGGTAATAGTGTATTTTAAATAAAATTAAAATAAAATTAAAATACCCCTATTTAGGTAGGAGAATATCTATTATAATTTCATTCTGCTATAGCTAGTTCATATACAACCCTCTTTCTGGTTCTCTCACTATTTTAATGAAACCTATGCAGTTTTTATTAAATTTAACTTCACATTTACTGCCCATTGTTCACTCACTAATTCATGCAAGCCCACAAAAGTATTAGTGGAATTCATTTTTGAGATAAAGAAATTATGACTGACAATGTTTTTATATATCCTACTATTCACAGTTACCTGTAAGATTCCCTGTCATCCAACACATGGTCTTGTTACTCAAAATAAGCAGTATCTGCAGCCTGACTGTTGGAGGCTGGCTCGCAGCAGGTGTTTAGCAGAGCCTTAGACTAGGAAATGCCACACAGCATTTACTTTCTACTACTCTGACCCAGTTTTCTCTTGAATCCTCCCATACCGTATAGAAAACGCAATAAGTCTCTTGTAAACCACTCCCAGGAGAGTGATGGTGAGCACGACGATCCCACATACAAGGCTGAACGCCCATCGTGGTCCCCAGTAACTATACACGTGGCTGATGAATACAGGCCCGAGAATCCGTGCTCCACTGCCAGAAGCCGTTAACCAGCCCATGTACACACCCTGTAGGACAGTGAGGTGGGGACAAGCAAATCAATAATCAAATTTAATCTTTTTAAAGCCAAGATAATGCTATTATCAAGCTAATGCAAACTCAGAAAAATCACTTTCCCCATCTTTTACGTTAAACATAGTATTCTTTGCTATAAATACAAGTAATGAACAATAAACTTGAAGGTTATAGTTCAAGAAAAATAAATGTAAATAAATAAAAATAAAAAATGTAAAGGGACAAATTTAAGTCTGCTGAAGTCTCTGAAGCAACCTATTAATATGCCTTTAAAAAATATGCCTTTAAAAAATATGCCTTTAAAGAGATAACATTTATTTTGTACCTGCTACATGCCAGACACTGCTTTGCATATATTGTTTCTAATGTTCATAAGCTTTTTTTTGATAGGTAGAGTTATAGACAGTGAGAGAGACAGAAAGGTCTCCCTTCCATTGGTTCACTCCCCAAATGGCTGCTACAGCTAGCGCTGTGCTGATTTGAAGCCAGGAGCCAGGGGCTTCTTCCTGGTCTCCCATGCGGGTACAGGGGCCCAAGCACTTGGGCCATCCTCCACTGCCTTTCCAGGCCACAGCAGAGAGCTGGACTGGAAGAGGAGCAACTGGGACTAGAACCCGGCACCCATATGGGATGCCGGTGCCGCAGGTGGAGGATTAACCAAGTGAACCACAGCGCCGGCCCTGTTCACAAATTTTGATGACTGCTGTTACTCCCATTTAACAAATGTGGAAGCTGAAACTCAGTTTAAGTAGCTTGTCCAGGAGATGTGATGCTGTGTTTGACTGATCCGCTGGACCACTGTGCCACTCCCACAACTTTGGAATCCCAAACGATAACCTATGCAGTCTACCCAAGAACATCCAGGGCATCGTTGCTTTTCAGAGCCCCAAACTGAAAACAAATGTCATAGGTGAATAAATAAATTATGGTATATTTAAGAATTGGAATGCTAATCAGCTGTCTAGAAGACTAAGTTTGGGGTGCGTAGAAGGCTAAGCCTCTCCCCGCAACATCAGCATCCCATATGGGTGACAGTTGAGTCCAGGCTGCTCCACTTCCTATCCAGCTCCCTGCTAATGTGCCTGGGAAGGAAGAGGAAGATGGTCCAAGAGCTTGGGCCCCTGCACCCACATGGGAGACCTGGAAGAAGCTCCTGGCTTTGGCCTGTCCCAGCCCCAGCCATTGCAGCCATTTGGAGAGTGAGCCAGCAGATGGAAGATTTCTCTCTCTCCTTCTCTCTGTATCTCTGCCTATCAGATAAATAAATAAATCTTAAATAGAAGAATAAAGTCATAGAGTACAAACTTATAACACAAATATGCAGTAACCTGGAAAAAAGGCTGTAATATATTCACTTAAAGAGTCACAATACAGAAAAAAATATTGTAGATGTGATACAGTCTTTGTTGTTGTTTTCTTTTATTAAGACATGAGTGTGAATAAGTTTGAATAGGCAGAGAAAAATGTCTCAGGGAACAAATGAACTTACGAGTGATGGTCTGCGGCAGTGAAATGTTATAGACATTTCTAAATTATTTGAATTTTGCTACAACCATCATGTTTCACCTTTGCAATTAATATGCTTTTATTCTTAAATTTGAAAACTTTAAAATACATCTTTTATGTTCAAAAGTTATCAAAATGTCTTACTTTATAACGATAACACAGCTACTAAGTTTGTCTTCTTTCAATAGAGAAAATTAATTTTTGTTTTGAAAATGTGAAGATATTAGTTTAATTTTTATTTACTTTTAATTCTTAAAAAATTCCTCTTTATCTGAGAGGCAGAGAAACAGCTTCCATGCATGGGTTTACTCCCTAGATACCTGCAACAGCTAGGGGGCTGAAGCCAGGAACCAGGCACACAATCCAGGTGTCCTACTTGACTGGAAAGAATCCAACTACTTGTACCATTTCCACCGCCTCCCAGAGTCCACATTACCAAGAAACTGGAAGCCAGAGTTGGTAATCAAACCCAGGTACTCCCAGCGGAGAAAGGAAGTGTCCTAACCTGTATCTTACAGCTGGATGAAATGCCCAACCTTGGTGTAATTTTTAAAGAGGAAGATGATAAATTTATTTTGTAGCCATTTTTTTTTTAAATTATTTTTTGAGAGGCAGAGTTACAGACAGACAGACAGGTCTTCCATCCGCTGGTTCACTCCCCTAAAGGCAGCAACAACCAGGGCTGAGCCAGGCCAAAGCCAAGAGCCAGGAGCTTCCTCCAGGTCTCCCACATGGGTGAAGTGGCCTCATCACTTGGGCTATTCTCCACTGCTTTCTCAGGTGCATTAGCAGGGAGCTGGATCTGAAGTGGAGCAGCTGGGACTTGAACTGGCACCCATATGGCATGGCAGTGCTGCACGCTGTGGCGTTCATCCACTGAGCCACAGCACCAGCCCCTATTCTGTGGTCATTTGAATAACTGCTACTAAAAATAATTAATAATCTAAGTGTACAATAATAGGATAATGGTCATGGGTAAATTATGGTACATACATACATACATACATTCTCTAAAGGCAAGCAGTTAGTGTTAAGATGCCCATGTCCTATACTGGAGTACCTGGTTTCCTTACTCCAGCTTCTACTAAGGCAGACCCTGGGAAACAGCAGTAATGGCCCAAGTAATCAGGTTCCTAATACCTATATGGGAGACCAATTGAGTTCCTTGCTCCCAGCTTCAGCCTGGGCTAGTCTCAGCCATTGTAAACACTGTAGGAGTGAACCAGCAGATAGGAGTGGTGTGTGTGTGTGTGTGTGTGTGTGTATACCTTTCACATAAATTAAACAAAAATGGTTCTCAAAAATCAAATTAAAAAGCACTGAATATTCACAAAACATTGTCACATTTTTGAAAAAGCAGATTACAAAACAGTATGATATACTCCTGGTGTGTGACACACACCCATTTACATAAGCATAGAAAGGACCAGAGCAGAAGCATATTTATGCCAAACAGAGTAGGACTTGTCTCTTTTATAATTTTCTTCATTTTTGCTATTTTTCCCTAACCTTACATAATGAATTTGGAATTCTCACTTAAAATCTAATTTTAAAACATACATAGCTGCTATAAACTTTTAAAACTGTTGTGTTGGGGGCTGGCGCTGTGGCTCACTAGGTTAATCCTCCACCTGCGGCGCCAACATCCCATATGGGCCGGGTTCTAGTCCCGGTTGCTCCTCTTCCAGTCCAGCTCTCTGCTGTGGCCCGGGAAGGCAGTGGAGGATGGCCCAGGTGGTTGGGCCCTGCACCCACATGGGAGACCAGGAGAAGCACCTGGCTCCTGGCTTCGGATCAGCGCAGCGCCGGCTGTAGCAGCCATTTGTGGGGTGAGCCAAGGAAAAGGAAGACCTTTCTCTCTGTCTCTCCCTCTCTCTCTCTCACTAACTCTAGCAGTCAAATAAAAGAAAAAGAAAAAGAAACAAGAAAAGACTGTTGTGTTTTCATCTCTTAGTAGTTCTAGCAGATGAAATTAAGCCCTGATCTAAATTAGACTATAAATTTTGATTCTTACCTAATATCTCCTCTAAGAATGAGTTTCTGAAATTTATGCTTTAGACTTTTTTCCTATGAAACTGATTTTGAGTTCATAATTTCTAAATTAGGTTCCAATAGGGTACTGTTTGTTAAATGTGTGTATATAAATCTTGTAAATACTTAACAAAAGTTGTATTTTTAATTTTAAAATGCTACAAAAAAATTTTTAAAAATCTCTCAAAGCAGCCTTTGTGAAAAACAGAACAGTAGCAAGAATTTTGAGTGCTTCTAACTATATTTCACACAACTGCAAAGTCAGAGTAGCTGGCTTACCTGAGGCTTTGGTCCTAGAATTTTTGAATATAATGTATAGGACATGACATTGCAGGCTGGATAGCCTATCCCAATGAGCACAGCTGATATGAGGAACTGGGCCAGGTGGATCACTGGGGTGTAGAGGCACCATGCTTGTTCAATTGGACAACCAGTTGGTCCTTCACTGTGATCTTCTCTGGGAGATTTCCAAAGACCAATAATAATTTCCCCAAATGTGGTATTAGGGATTGAGTTATTATGTAAATCTATAAAAACAAAATTAGCTCAGTGTATTACTTGTTAATTTTAGATTAATAATAAAACATTAAAATTATGTATGGCTATACCTTCCCACTGAATTTTGGGAAACTGATTTCCCCAAGGTAACAAGATAAAGAAGCCAATCCACACAACGATGAGTCCTCCCAGGAGAATAGCACGCTCACCAATCCTGTTCAAGAACACAAACTCTGTAACTTTAAAATGAAACACTCTGAGTTCTCTTACTTTTACAATTAGAAAAACTATAAAACTATAAATAAAATAGTGTCATGTCACTTAGTGATATATCAAATATGAATGCTAAATATAATTTCCCATTAAACAGAATTAAGAAAAATTGTTGACTTCAGGTGTAGGACAGAAAATGTGGAAGCTAAGCACAGACATCTTTTCACATCAGAAAGCAAAGAAACTATCAGTGACTATGAAGTTATGACAAAAGGACTTAGTCAACTTGAAGAAGTGGCCCCAAATGTTGACAATGTAAAAATACTTTCACTTCCATGTTTATGGCAGCAGTATTCACAATAGCCAAGATATGGAATCAACCAAGGTGTCCATTAATGGATAAAGCATTTAAAAAAACACAAACACACAATGGATTATCAGCCATAAAAAATGAAATCTTGCCATCTGCAGCAAAATGGATGAATTAGACTACATTATGTTAAGTGAAATAAGTTAAGCACAGAAACACATACTGCAAGCTCTCATTTGTATGTGGAAACTAAAAAAAGTTGATTTCATAGAAGCAAGGAGTAGGGTTGGATGTCACGGTACAGAGTTGAGCCACCATTTGAGACTTCAGTAGCCCATATTGCAGTGCATGGTTTGGGTTCAGGCTAATCCATGCTTTCAGTCCAGCTTCCTGCTAATGTACCTGAGAGGCAGTGAATGATGGCCCAAGTGACTGGGTTCCTGCCACCCACATGGGAAACCTGGATGGAGTTCCTTGCTCCTGGCTTTGGCTTGGCCTACCCCCTGGCTCTTGGAAGCATTTGGAGTGTGAACTAATAGATGGAATATCTCTCTTCTTTGTTACTCTGGCTTTCAAACAAATAAATAAATCTTGATTTTTTATAAAACAGAGGTAAAGAGTAGAATAGTGGTCACTAGAGGTTAGGATGGGAGGTTGGGCAGAAGATAAAGGGAAGTAGATAATAGGTACCGAGATACAGCTGCATAAGAGGAATAGTTCTGATGGTCTACAGCACAGTAGGGGGACTACTATTCATAAAGTTTATTACATATCTTATAAAGAACTAGGAAGGCAGAAAGGAATGTGAAGTTCCCAAGAAAAAAGAAATGATACCCGTTTAAGGAGATGGAAAAGCTAATTACTCTGATTTGCTCATTATATTTTATAAATATTGAACCATCACACTGTGCCCCATAAATATGTATAATTATCACATTAATTAAAATAAGAAAAATAAGTGACATTGTGAACACCTATAAAATAATATTGGCAGTGGACTACAACTTATGAAAGTGTTAAAATCTATAAGCTCTATAAATAAAATATTCATTAATCACTTCTTCAGGATGTTAGGGAACCAATCTATTCCTTTTAAATACTGTTAATAAACAATTATTTACTCTGCCTTTCCTATAGACTGTACTTCAGGTAAATCAAACAGCTGGGGAGGGGAAGGTTCTCTTCATAGGCAGTATTCTCACAAGTCAATAAAGGAGTGACAAAGTAACACACAGCCATCACACAGCATCTGCAGGGGACTGGTTCCAGGACCTACCTCAGACACCAAAATCTGCAGATGCTCAAGGCTCTCAGCTAAAATGGCACCGTACTCGCATATAACTTTCATAATCCTCCTATGTACTTTAAATCATCTCTAGATTACATATAATGCCTAATACAAGGTAAATGTTATGTAAAGGTTTAGGCCATGTTTGACATGTTCAGTGGAGCAGTTCTTTTTCCCCTAAATATTTTTGCTCTACAGTTGGTTGAGTTTCTGGATGTGGAACTTCTGAATATAGAGGACCAATTCTACCAGCATTTTGCAATGATCCATTATTCAGTTAGTGGGTCTAGGGAAGGAGCAATGGCCAATTACATTATAGGAAGAGATTAAGTGAAACATTCTATTTCCTCTGATGTAAACACATAATGCCACCTTTACCATTCTTCCCACAAATTGCACCCTAATCTTATCAAGCTTTTAGATGCCAAATATTGGTTTTCAAGAAATAAAGTAGACAGAGGAAAATGCTTCAGAAATATTGCAGTGATGCAATCAGTAAGTTCCAAAATGTGGAAAACTATAGTGCAAACATCTTTTAGCTTGTAAGGAGAAAGAAACAAAGAAACCTATCCATTAAAAGAAAACTAAGAAACTTAAGAAGCTGAGTCAAATGAGCAAACAACATTAAACAAAAAAGACAAAAGAAACACTTGCAACAGTAGAGAAAATCTAAGTATCATCTGGATATCTGATGACATGACAATTTTTGTTGGGGCTGGTGCTGTGGCACAGTGGATTAAAGTCCTGGCCTACAGCAGTCCTGCAAGATATATTGCTGATTCTAGCTTTCTCTTTTATTTAAATAAAATTTTATATATCTCATATACACAGATATGCATATCTGTATATATATCAGGCATGTTTTAAGGATTTCTTCACATGACTAAGCTGTGGTGATAAAATGACTGACTGGGAGGTAGAAGCACTGAATGAAGGTGAGACATTTTTCCAGTTGATATGTCCATTTTCTTTTTTTAATTTCTTTTTTGTCTTTTTTTATTTTCACTTAAAGCCCTCCTGTATTTACACTTTAAATTCTTATAATTTATTGGGAGAAGGAAAAGAACTTTTGTGTGTCTTGCAGAGTCCCAAGATTTTTCATTTCTCAGCATAGAAAAAAAAACATTATTGGCCTCCAACGTTTTGTAGGCATACTTAGGCAGATCTTATTTCTCCAGTGGACATGGAGATAATTCCTAATTTTAGAAGGAATTGGTTCTCTTTGGAATTCAGAATTATTCTGGTTTTAGAAGAGAATTTATGGTTATTAATGTGGAAGTGCAGAATAAAAATAAGTTCCTATTTGGGGTATCTGTTGAAATCCCCAGTAACTCAATTTCCTATTCTGAACAAAACCAGAAAAACTAATGTTAAGATTTGACTTAAAATAGGTGTCTTTCTCACTTTAACATATTTTCATTTGTTTGTTTTTAAAGTTTCCTAAATTGTAGCCTGAATTCTAGCTATACCCCTTTGTTTATTGTGTGAGTGTGACAGGCAGAGTGGACAGTGAGAGAGAGAGAGAGAGGTTCTATTCTCCTGAAGCAGTCTGCCTGGGTAGAAAGGCAGAAAGATGGTATGCTGTCCCCCTGTGCCTGTAATTTATCTACTTGAATCTGGCCTTTCTGGCCAACCTAATAGAATTTCTTAGAACTTTCCTAGTGACCACCATCAGGTTTAGTAATCCACTAGAGCCCCAAAGTATGAGTCTTCCATTTTCCTTTTCTGTGATATACTTTGTGAAATGATGAGCCTATACTAATAAATGGCCTGTTTGGGCATAATAGAAAAATAAATTAAAAAGTTAAAAAAAAGAATATTGCTTTACCAAAGAAATATCACAGGGTATAAAAATATATTCTCTAGATAAATTTTAAATATGTTTGCAAACTTTCAAGGACTACAACATATAATGAGAAAAATTATTTATCATACTTTATTAAATAAAAACAATTTAAACTATTTTACTAGCACATTCATTTGCATTGTTACTTCTGTTTCTTATTTCATTTTTTTAAAAGAAACAAAAACATCTAACTTACTTCTTGGAAAGTATTTTAACGCCCATGAAAACAAGAACTGCCTCAACTCCAAGGGCAGCAAGTATTATTCCATCATAAAATACAGCTTGTTCTTGAGTCCAGGCATACATATCCATAGTTAACGGTGTAAGGATGCTAAGAAAATCAAAAACATTATTCTTATTTTATTTCAATCATAATTGTTACAACTAATAAACATAAGCTTTAATAATGATACCTACCTACATTTAAGAATTTGCAACCCTTTTAGTGATGATATAAGCAAAAGTATGAACACATTTAAAACATATTTGCTATTACATATATAATCTCCTAAGCTTGCCTATTCATTTTTAGTTTTTTAATATTTTAATTATATGAATAACATAGGCATGTTGCAAAAAACCTGAAAAATACAATAAACAAACTAAATCAATCATAGCTATCATTGCAACATAACGAAATAATGGTTATATTTTGGTTTAAAGTGTCCACTTGACCTGAGTTTGAGTCCTAGTTCCTGACTCAGCTTTCTGCTACTACAAACCCTGGGAGGTAGCAGTAATGGCTCAAATAATTGGGTTCCTGCCACTCTCGTGGAAGACCTGGATTGAGTCTCCAGCTCTCGATTTCAGCCCCTGCTCAACCTCATTCTTGTGGGCATTTGGGGCATGAACCAGCAAATGAGAGCTCTGTCTCTAGGTCTGTCTCTTTGTCTCTTAAATAAATAAGTAATTAAAACAAAAAGTGTCCTGTTTTCAACATAATAATAATGTAACTATTATAACAGTTACATAATATATATAACATATAATAATGTAACTATTATAATTATTAAGTTACTAAAACAAATTATTAAGTTACTAAAACTACTGAACTTTTTGTTTCTCAATTATTTCCTTTTTTTTTAGAGGTTTATTTATTTATTTGAAAGCAGAGTTACAGAGGAAGAGAGAGAGAGAGTGAGAGCGAGCGAGAGAGAGAGAGGTCTTCCATCCGCTGGTTCACTCCCCAAATGGCAGCAACAGCTGGAGCTGGGTCCATCCGAAGCCAGGAACTTCTGGGTCTCTGACGTGGGTGCAGCAAACATCTTCTACTGCTTTCCCAGACCATAGTAGAGGGCTAGATTGGAAGTGGAGCAGCTGGCACTGCAGGCGGCATCTTAGCACACTATGCCACAGTGCTGGCCCCCTTTCTGTTATTTCCATCCCTAACTTTGAAAGTATGTATTTTTCTCCCTGTCTTTGAATGTGACTCTTCCTTTAATATGACTCTGTCTCCTTCCTTACTTTTCCTATATTCTGTCTCCTTCTGTTAACTGACTACAAAATTAAATTATAAAAAAAGGCTTTTTTTCCCTAAAATACAACATTTTGAATTCTAAAATCAGATGAGTTGACATAGAAAATACTTTGGTGGTTTCTCAAAGTTAAACACAGAACTGTCATATGATTCAGCGATTGCACCTCAAAGAATTGAAAGGAGAGGCTCAAACTGATATATCAATATTCATAGCAGCATTTTTCACAATAGTCAAAAAGTGAAAACAACTAAGTGTCCACCAATGGATAAAAGGACAATGTTATTTAGCTATAAAAAGTTAAAAAATTCTACTGAATTCTACAATATGATGAACCTTGCAATCATCATGCTAAGTGAAATAAGGCAGAAACAAAAAGAAAACACTGTATGACTCAGCTTGCATGACGTACCTAGAACAAGCAAATTAATAGAAAAAGAAGGTAGAATAGATGCTACCAGGGACTACATGGATGAGTCTGAGAGGCTCTTGTTTAATGGATAAGTCTAGAATGATAAAAAGGTTATGAAAATTTATAATGAACACAGTTGCCCAACATTGTGAATGTACTTAATGACAATGAATTTTACATGTTAAGAATAGTTAAAATGGAGCTGATGGAGTTAAAATGTGGTCCTGCAGTGTCAGCATCCAATATGGGCCCCAGCTGTTGCACTTCCAATCCAGGTGCCTGCTAATGTGCCTGGAATAGCAGTAGAAGATGGCCCAAGGGCTTAGGCCCTTACACCCATGTGGGAGACCCAGAAGATACTCTTGGCTCCTAGCTTTGAATCAGCCCAGTTCCAGCCATTGTAGTGAACCTGCAAATGGATGATCTCTCTCCCTCTCTTCATCTTTCTGTATCTCTGCCTTTCAAATAAATAAATAATCATTAAAAATATATTTAGAATGGTACATTTTGTGTAATGCCCGTTTCACCAAAAGGTCATCAAAAAATAGATGAGTAAAACTTTTTTTTAAAAGATTTATTTATGGGGCCGGCGCTGTGGCACAGTGGATTAATCCTTCGCCTGCAGCACCAGCATCCCATATGGGCACTGGTTCAAGTCCCAGCTGCTCCTCTTCCAATCCAGCTTCCTGCTGATGGTCTGGGAAGGCAGCCGGTGTTGGCCTAAGTGATTGGGCCCCTGCACCCATGTGGAGAACCAGAGGATGCTCCTGGTTCCTGGCTTCAGATGGGCACAGCTCTGTCTGCAACTCTGTCTCTCAAATAAATTAATAAATCTTTAAAAAAAAGATTTATTTATTTTATTTGAAAGTCGGAGTTACACACAGAGAGAAGGAGAGGCAGGGAGACAGAGAGAGAGGTCTTCCATCTGCTGGTTCACTCCCCGGTTGGCCCCAATGGATGGAGCTGTGCCAATCCGAGGCCAGGAGCCAGGAGCTTCTTCCAGGTCTCCCCCATTGGTCCAGAGGCCCAAGGACTTGGGCCATCTTCCACTGCTTTCCCAGGCCAAGTAGAGCAGCCAAGACTCAAACCAGCACCCATATGGAATGCCAGCACTGCTGGCGGCGGCTTTACTCACTATGCCACAGTGTAGGCCCCAAGATTAAAAAACTTTCTACCTCAATAATTTTGAAAATAAAAATTTCATTGGGGCCGGCATTGTAACATAGTAAGCTAAGCCTCTGCTTGTGGCAGTGGCATCCCACATGGGCGACGTTTCATGTCCCGGCTGCTCCTTTGCTGATCCAGCTCCCTGCTGATGGCCTGGGAAAGCAGTGGAAGATGATCCAAGTGCTTGGGCCCCTGCACCCACTTGGGAGACCTGGAAGAAGTTGGCCCTGAGCATTGCAGTCACTTGGGGAGTGAATCAGCAGATGGAATATCTCTCTCTAACTCTGATTTTCAAATAAATAAATCTTTTTTTTAACAAAATGGAAGGGGGAAAGACTAGTGAAACAGATTTCTTTGTAAGACAGCAAGAGGGGCTGGTGCTGTGGCACAGTAGGTTAAGCTGCCACCTGCAGTGTTGGCATCCCACATGGGCACCTGTTCGAATTCTGGCTGCTCCACTTCTGATCCAGCTCCCTGCTAATGTATCTAGGAAAGCAATGGAAGATGGCCCACATGCTTAGGCCCCTACACCAATGTGGGAGACCTGGAAGAAGCTCCTGGTTCCTAGTTCCTGGTTTTGGATTGGCCCAGCTCCTGCTGTTGTAGCCATATGGGAAGTGAACCAGCTGATGGAAGATCTCTGTCTCTCTCTCTAACTCTTTCAAATAAATAAATAAATCTTTAAAAAGAACAAAAAAAAAAAAAATACAGCAAGATAGAGCAGTAAAACTATGCAGAATTAACTACATTCAAGTTTAAAAACATGAAATTTATATATCTTTCACATCATGAGAATAACAAATATGCCTTTCTGGTAACCACAATAGCCCTAATTAACATTGCATTAAGAAATACAGGTTGAGTCGCCAAAAAACAAAGAAATACAGGTTGCTATATAGTCTGATTTACATAATAGAATAAAACTTACGTTTCAAAAAGGGCAAAGATAAACAGAACCACAAAGAACAGAATATTGGTGGCCACAACAGCAACTTGATCAATATTTCCTTGGGGAAACTGAACTTCATCTGTATTTACTAAGGGCAAATAGGAGAAAAATTGTATTACCTATATAACTAATTTTCCTTAGGACAATAAAACAATGTAGAAATTACACATAGAAAATCTTATAAGCAAACATTTAAAATAATTTTTAAACTGTAAAGAAGTTTGAAAGTTATAGGATTTATGACAGAAATAATTTTTAAATGGCATTTAAAAGTAAAGAAAATTTTATCCCTAGAGATATAAAGACTTCAATTATATTATCTATAGAAAATTCTCAGATCTATTTTCTATTTGGTATCTCTCAATTCAAAATAGAAATGCAAGTTAGAGAATTCTGTAATAAAATGATTTTATACTAAATACATTTACTTTAAATTTCAGTTGCAGAAATTTTTCTATCTTACCTAAATCTTAAAATTACATACACTTCATGAAGAACTCAAATAGTTTATTAAATCAGTTCACACTTCTGATTCACTCCAATGGATACATATTTTTTGAATTTTAATGCTATTACAAAATTAGTTAAAAAAATCCTTAGGGTATCATTTGTATTCTTGTAAAGACACAACCAGGATTTGATGGTGGCTTTATAAATTAGAAGAGCAAAGTGACTGTACTGACTTCTCACCTTCAACTATGTAGTTAAACTACACAGGCAGCCCAAGGTATTCCTGATATAACTAAGAAATATGTAGCCATACACATCCACTTTACATATCCCTCAAGCTGTTTTGTAATTGATCCACTTACTCAGCATGAGTCAGGTAAGTATTAGAGGAATGTGTCTATTTATGTGTCCCTCATCGTCTGTGCACTGGCAGGAGGGAAGAGGGTACAGTTTTTCAAAGCACAGTCAGTTTCTATGACTTGTTTCTAACAGTGCCTGCCTTTCTATCTCAGGACTACTGAGAAGGAATTCCTTCTCAATAAGTAGCAGTGGAATTAGTCTGCCCTGCTAGGGGGGGAATTAAGTATCTATGTCCATAGCCGGCGCCGCGGCTCACTAGGCTAATCCTCCACCTTGTGGCGCCGGCACACTGGGTTCTAGTCCCAGTCGGGGCGCCGGAGTCTGTCCCGGTTGCCCCTCTTCCAGGCCAGCTCTCTGCTGTGGCCAGGGAGTGCAGTGGAGGATGGCCCAAATCCTTGGGCCCTGCACCCCATGGGAGACCAGGAGAAGTACCTGGCTCTTGCCATTGGATCAGTGCAGCACGCAGGCCGCGGCAGCCATAGGAGGGTGAACCAACGGCAAAAGGAAGACCTTTCTCTCTCTCTCTCTCTCACTGTCCACTGCCTGTCAAAAAAAAAAAAAAAAAAAAAAAGTATCTATGTCCAGATCCTTGTGAAGGGTAAGCCTTGGTCCTTGTGGCCCTTGTGTTATTTTTGACAGACCTCCCCGATTCTCAATCATCAGCTAGAAGCTGGTCATTACTACTTTAAATCAAATCTCAACATTGCCTAAAGTCAGGCTGGAGTTTGCATCATATGCAGCTGGTTTCCTGCAGCTTCTATTCAGTGTTGGTTTTCAATGAGGAATCTAAGAAATGCTGCATAGCAAATTTTCAGGACTGGATGGATAGCCTCATTATAGGAATGTTAAGAAAAGAGTACATTAATATATTGATGCAAATGCTGTGTGATAAGAAATTATAATTCTATCCTGATAATTTCTTTAAGCCTAAATTACTTTTACAATTAAAATAACTATAGAAACTTTAATCAGATATATTTTATCCAATTATTAAAATTTAAAAATCTTATTTTATATAATTATTTTGAAGTTTCTAAAAACCCCACAAAAGAAACAGATCTCTCCTCTTTAAACTCCTGTTTGTGCTTTAGAACAATGCTGTCCAATAGAACTGTGACAAGTTGGAAATGTCCTTCATCTGTGCCATGCAATACATATACCCAAAACTGTACACCTGAAATATGGCTAGTGTGATGGGAAATAATTTCCTGAAAGTACTTCAACTTAAATAGCTGGGGCTGGCACTGTGGCATAGTGGGTTAAGCCTTTGCCTGTAGTGTTGGCATCCCATATTGGCACCTGTTCAAGTCCCAGCTACTTAACTTTCAACCTAGCTCCCTGCTAATGGCCTGGGAAAGCAGTGGAAGATGGCTCAAGTACTTGGGCCCCTGGAAGAAGCTTCTAGCTCCTGGCTTTGGATCAGCCCAGCTCTGGCTGTTGCAACCATCTGGGGAGTGAACCAGCAGATGGAAGACCTCTCTATCTCTCCCTCTCTCTGTCTGTAACTCTGCCTCTCAAATAAATAAATCTAAAAAAAAAAAAAAAAAAAAAAAAAAAACACGTAAATAGCCATATGTGACTAGTGGCTACTGTATTGCACATCATGGTTCTATATCTTTGCTACTCAAAATATGGTTTGTAGACAGCAGCATCAACTCAAATGGCAATTTGTTATAAACTTGGAAGTAAACGAAAATACAGGAACCCAGTTAATTTAAATCTGAGATAAACAACAACTGTTAGTATCAATATGTTCCATGCAATATTTGCAATTTCAGTATAGCAATGTCCTATGAAATATTTGGATCATATTTATACCAATTTGTTGTTTATTTGAAATCCAAATTTAACTGGGTAGAACATCCTAAAACACTATTCAATTTTTTTTTGAGAGACAAAGAAACAGAGCTTCCATGTACAAGTTCACTACCCAAATGCTCCAGAGCTGAGAATTCAACCCAGGTTTTCCATGTGGATGGCAGGGACCCAACACTTGCTGCCTCCTGCATTAGCAGGAAACTGGCTAGAGTCAGGAGCAGAGCTGTGACTCACACTCAGGCACTCCAATATAGGATGCAGGAGCCCTAAATTTAAATGGGTATCCTGAATTTTATCTGGCCCTACTGAGGAGGCCTCCCCACCCCAGGCTTACTGAATGAGAATGTTCATTATTTTTTATTTATTTATTTGACAGGTAGAGTTATAGACAGTGAGAGAGACAGAAAGGTCTTCCTTCCGTTGGTTCACTCCCCAAATGGCCACCACGACCGGTGCTGCGCTGATCCAAAGCCAGGAGCCAGGTGCTTCCTCCTGGTCTCCCATGCGGGTGCGAGGGGCCCAAGCACTTGGGCCATCCTCCACTGCCTTCCCGGGCCATGGCAGAGAGCTGGACTGGAAGAGGAGCAACTGGGACTAGAATCCAGCACCCATTTGGGATGTCAGCGCCACAAGGCGGAGGATTAACCAAGTGAGCCACGTCTCCGGCCCGAGAATGTGCATTTTAACAAGGTTCCCAGGTAAATCCCCAAGCACATTAAAGTTAATGAAGCACTGATCTACATTGTTATCCCCCTTCCGAGGTCTTTAAGACTGCTTCTTAGCTATCCTGCCTTTCTCAGTACCTCAATCTTGTCTTCTTAACTACAGATAGTTCATTGATGTTAGCATCCTATTTTTCATCTTTTGAAAAGGTGGCTTATAACCCACTGCTAATACTTCCCCATCACTCATCCTGTCGTTCTTTTTACTTGGAAAGTTTTCAGACATTCTCACCTATCCATCCTCCAAATCCAACAACATTTGCTGCACTGGACTCATCTATCCATTCTTTCCAGTCTCTCCACTGTCTTTGCTGCTGTAGTGCTTTTCACTGGGCAACTCTCAAATTTGTTTCTCTAGCTTTGACCTCTACTGCCAAAATTGCAAATGCCTCTGGGATCTTTTTATATTCTTAGGTAACAGTATACCCAGCTTGGTCCAAATTAACTCTTCTTTTCAACCAACCTTTCTTCCTAAATATTTCCTCTCTCTCATTATTCTGGTTATCTAAAATCAAAACCTGGCAGTTGTGGTGAGTGTTTGGCTCAGTGATCAAAACCTACCTGGGATGCCCATATCCAATATTGCAGTACTTGGGATCCAGTTAAAGCTTCATTTCTGATTCCAGCTTCCTGCTAATGTACACCCTGGGAGGCAGCAGGTGATGGCCCAAGTACTTGGGTCCCTGTCATCCATGTAGAAGACCTGGACTGAGTTCCAGGCTCCTGGTCAACCTGATCCAGCCCTGACTGTTGTAGGATTTTGGAAAGTGAACCAATGAATGGAAAATTCTTTCTTACTGCCTGTCTCTCTGCCTTTCAAACAAATAAAAATACATAAAACTTTTAAAGATGGCAGACATCATAAACAACTCCTACTAATCCTTAATATTCTTTATCTATCAAGAATCGTGTGTGTGTGTGTGTGTGTGTGTGTATGTGTATGTGTATTACTCCTTATCCCTTCTCCATTCTTAGTCACTGCCCTGGCTCAGGTCTTCACACGTCCAGATTAATTTCTGCCTGAAATCTATTGTTGTATCTGCTTCCTAGTTCAAAAACTAACTGTAGCTCCTCATCACTCAGCTCTTACTCTACCACATCTGTCACTATTTCTGTTGTGAAAATTAAATAAAATGGTTATAAAAATACTTGGTAAAACAAAACTGTCTGTTCCACAACTTTGCAAACACATTGCATTGAGATGTATTCATTCATATGTCAGGTTACTTCCTAAGGAGGGTATAAACAGTACCTTTATAACAGCTTATTTAATAAAATAGACCTACTTACCAGATTGGATACCTACTTCTGCATCAGAGAAAGATTAAAGGGTAAAAATGTATATTTGTAAAGTAAACCAAAATAATAAAATTTTAAAAGAGAAACCCTATTGATTCTCACAATCAAGGGAAACAAAAAGGCACATTTAGTAATAAAGTTACTGAAATCATCCCAAAGATCTCAAAGTGTTTAGGATATTGGCTATTTGAAAACAATATAAAATGATTTTTAGCAATTAGTTTATCCTTGCCAGTCATGAACACCAACTAGCTGATATGGACAGGCCTTTTTTTTTTTTTTTTTAATCAATTTAGGGACTGGCACTGTGGTGCTATGAAACAAGCCACCACTTGCAATGCTAGCATCTTATATTGGCGCACCAGCTACTCCACATTTAATACAATTTCCTGCTAATACTCCTGAGAAAGCAGTGGAGGAAGGCCCAAGTACACAGGCCCCTGCCACTTACACAGTAAACCCAGACAGAGTTCCTGGCTCCTGACTTGAGAATGGCCCAGTCATTTGTGGAGTGAACCAGTAGAATGAAGAAAACTCCCTTACTCTCACTGCCACTCTCTCTCCTTTTGCCTCTGTTGCTCTGCCTTTTAAATAAATAAAATTTTTAAAGCTTTATTTATTTATTTGAAAGTCAGAGTTACTGAGAGAGAGAAGGAGAGGCAGAGAGACAGAGAGGTCTTCCATCCACTGGTTCACTCCCCAGTGGCCGCAACAGCCAGAGCTGCGCCGATCTGAAGCCAGGAGCCAGGAGCCAGGAGCTTCCTCTGGGTCTTCCCACGCGGGTGCAGGGACCCAGGGGGTTGGGCCATCTTCTACTGCTTTCCCAGGCCATAGCAGAGAGCTGAATCGGAAATGGAACAGCTGGGACTCCCATATGGGATGCCCGCACTGAAGACGGCAGCTTTACCTGCTATGCCACAGCACCAGCCCCTAAATAAATAAATCTTAAAAAAAAAAAAAAAAAAAATTTGGGTAACTTTCTCCTTTGAAGATCTTCCCAATTATCCACTATATTGTCCTCAGAAGCAAAATCCAAGTAAACACCAAACAGGCAGAATCACTGGAACTACATCGATAGTATTATAGTAATCTAGTCAAACAGGTTAATAGTACCTTCTTCAAAATTAACATTTTTATATTGTCGTCCTGAGTCATCCACACGATGTTCTCTTAAAAAGAAAAACATATATTGCATCTATAAAATGCTTAATATAAAAATGGTTTAAATTTATTACTAGCATCCTAATTTTTTCACATTCTGATATACTTTCTTTGACTGGCTTCTGAGTAATGGAATTATTACCAGCTCAATATAATCAATAAGGTTAAGATAAAAGTTGTAATTCTTATCATATTATCACATAAAATGAAAAAATTATGCAATTCATCCAAAAGCACACATGAATTACTGGAGTCAATATGTTAAGTTTTTCAGTAATTTTAAACATTAGTTACACAATGTCTTTGGATAACTGGATAAAGTACTCTAAAAAATATAAAGTAACAAACTTCTGAGTTTTGGAAAATTTCTTTTAATACATAAGAGAAGAGATGAGGGGCTTCAAAAAGTTCACAGAAAAATAGATTTAAAGGTTAATAAGAATTTTCCATAAACTCTGTGAAGCCTGGTCATACACATTATAAGTAACTTTCATATGTAAGGCTGATACTAATTTATTAATCTATTTAACATGTTTATTTCATGCCACTCTCCTACTAAGAAACATGGTAACTCAAGACCAAACCTTGAATATTCAAAGACCTTTATAACCTGTTCTCATTCATCAGGTTTTTTATTATTTTAGTTGTCAGTACTACATGCTTTAGCTGATTAAAAAATATGAACACAATTACAGACATCAAAAACAAAATAAAGACATCATAGGGATACTTACCCTGCAATAATGACATAGTTTGTTAAATTTCACAATCTACAAAATTAGTTCATTATTTCCATCTAATTACCTTAATACAGTAAGGATCAGAATAATATTTAAAACTCCCAGGAAGGCGCCAAGTAAAACTGGTGCTGTGTACATGTTTATCTGCAGCTTTATCGCATCCCATGTTACACCTTTTTCTCCAATGAGTGCAAAACAAGTCTGAAAAACTTATTAAAATGAAAAGTACAAGACGTTATTACATAGCAGGTATAGGCTGAACAAATGTAAAAGATTTAGCACAGAATTGAAGGTGACATTATGGAACCATCCTCTACATCACACATTCTCCACAGGGCCAAGAAAATGAAGTGAGGGAGGGAAAACAACATTACTCTTTTACTGGATAAAGCATAGGTAAACAGACAGTATATAAACATGTATGACAGATCTTTAGTATTAAAATTTCATGGGATGGAGTGATTAGTAAAAGGTGAAAGATTTATATGATCAGAAGAGAAACCAGAGTATAAGGTATGTAGTGATTAGTAAAAATTGTCTAAAAATTCTCCTTAGGGAGACAATAATGAAACAAAGGTTCAGAAACACTGATGTATATACATTCACAAAGGATTATATCTAAAGCTGCCTGTCAGTATCTTCTTTCTAAAACAAATCCATAGAAAATTTGTTATAATTTAGTTTAATCAATTTCATTATAAGAAAAAAAATCACATTTTAGGTAAAATATTCTATTACTGTGTGCATGGCAACTAAATTATATCTATTTAGTCTTATTTAAATTCAGTTCTATAGTAAAAACAGGATTGGATTGTACTGATTTACTCTCCTGATTTAGATTCTGTATATGGCTCTGTCAATAATTTGCATACAATCACATGGTGAGGATTAAGTCAGATACCGCTCCTAAACTACACAGCGTAGTGCCAAGCACCTTGTTAAGCCTTCAACAAATGTTAGTACTTCATGAATAGTTACCGTGATTGCAAAAGTCATCTAATATATTATGGCTTACAATTACTCACCTATAGCACAAAATTTTATGAGATAATCTTCAAAATACTTTTAAGGTAGTCAGCGATGTTTATTAAGAAGTTAAGTCTATATTAGGTACTGCAGCAGATAACAAGGTAGTGTGATGAATAGAAAAGGCCCAGGTATGTCCTATTTTACAATATTGCAGGGCCCAGCACTATGGCGTAGCAGGTAAAGCTGCCACCTGCAGTGCTGGCATCCCATGTGGGCGTCGGTTCTAGTCCCGGCTGCTCGTCTTCTGCTCCAGCTCTCTGCTATGGCCTGAGAAAGCAGAAGATGGCCCAAATCCTTGGGCCCTTGTTCCTGAGTGGGAGATGTGAAAGAAGCTCCTGGCTTCTAGTTTCAGATCTGTGCAGCTCAGGCCATTGTGGCCATCTGAGGAGTGAACCAGTGGATAGAAGACCCCCTCCCCTGCCTCTCTCTAACTTTGTCTTTCAAACAGAATAAATAAACCTTTTTTTAAAAAATGGCAAAGGGGCTGGCACTGTGGCTCAGTTGGTTAATTTTCCACCTGTGGCACCGGCATCCCATATGGGCGCCGGGTTCTAGTCCCAGCTGCTCCTCTTCCAGTCCAGCTCTCTGCTATGGCCCAGGAAGGCAGTGGAGGATGGCCCAGTGCTTGGGCCCCTGCACCCAAATGGGAGACCGGGAGGAAGCACCTGGCTCCTGGCTTCGGATCGGTGTAGCGCCGGCTGTAGCGGCCATTTGGGGAGTGAACCAATGGAAGGAAGACCTTTCTCTCTGTCTCTCTCTCTGTCTATAACTCTGCCAAAAAAAAAAAAAAAAAAGGCAAAAAAATATGGCATCAAGGTTCAATTATTCTACTTTTGTACATATATTTATTCCAGAATACTAAAGAAAAGTATTAGATATGGTGAATAATGAATTAGATTCTCTCCTATTGAGAGAATTAACATTTGGTTAAACAAAGAAATAATCAAAATTGAGGATGAAGAAGAGGTGTTAAAGATAACATAAACTGAGCTGGACTCCAAGTGATAATATTCATAACTGCAATATCTAAGGCATAAACCAGTTATATAGTTTCTCCATATTATATATTTTAAATATTTCTTTTATTTATTTGAAAGGCAGATTTACAGAGAGAGAAAGAGAGAAGGAAGAGACAGGGAGAGCAGTCTTCCATTTGCTGGTTTACTACCCAGATGGTTGCAATGGACAGGACTGGGCCATGCAGAAGACAGGAAGCAGGAGCGTCTTCCAAGTCTCCCACATAGGTTCAGAGGCCCAAACTCTTAGGCTATTCTCTACCGCTTTCCCAGGACCATTAGCAGGATGCTGGATCAGAAGTAGAGCAGCCAGGACTCAAATGGCCATATGAGATGCTGGCCCCCTTCCATATTATTTATGGAATTAAATAATTAATTTCTCTACTCAGCAGAAAATTAATTTGCCTTGGGGAAGTATTAGGTGTGGGGAGCAACTGGGAGCAACTCGGACTAGACTAAGTTACTGGAATTAAGACTTATTCTATGCATCTGCTTTCCCACAATATGGCGCTGAGAAGGGAGTAACAACTTCTATGCAGCTGCCTCTCGCCAGCTTGAGTGATGACCTGCAGGAGCTGATCCTGCTCCTGATTGGAGGAGAGCAGCGTACTCGGCGTGTGGGTAGCAGAGTTGGGATTGGTGGAAAAGGACTATAAAGGAGGAGAGAGACAACATGCACCAGGAACATCTGTCTGAAGGAACACCTGTGCAGCCCCCGAGAGAGCCAGCCGACGGTGTGCCGCTCCCCCGCGGAAGTGGGGAAAGTGGCTAGGGGGAACCGCCCTTCCACGGAGGTGGAAGGGACGGTAGCCAACCCGGGAAGAACCAGCAGCAAACCCGGGGAGGGCCGAGCAGACGAAAGAACAGCGCAGGGTCCTGTGTCGTTCCTCCACGAAGAGGGGGAGCAACATTAGGTATCATTAATTTTTTAAGTTTATTTTTTCATTTCATTTGAAAGTCAGACAGATCTTCCACATACTGGTTTATGTTTCAAATGCCTGCAACAGCCATGCTGGGTGAGGCCAAAGCCAGGAGCCCAGAATTCAATGTGATGTCACAGGGACCCAAGTACTTGGGCCATCATCTGCTGCCTCCCAGGGTGTGCATCAGAGGGAAGGTGAAATAGAAGTGCAGTAGCCAGGACATAAACCCAGGCACTCCAAAATGGGATGTGGGCATCCCAAGTGGTGACTTGATCACTGCAAATGGGTGGAAGCTCTAGAACAAAATAGTAAGCCTTTTTAAAAATTGTTCAGGGGGCTGGCGCTGTGGCGTAGCAGGTTAATGCCCTGGACTGAAGCACCAGCATCCCATATGGGTGCTGGTTCTAGTCCTGGCTGCTTCTCTTCCGATCCAGCTCTCTGCCATGGCCTGGGAAAGCAGTAGAAGATGGCCCAAGTCCTTGGGCCCCTGCACCCACGTGGGAGACCTGGAGGAGGCTCCTGGCTTCAGATCAGCATGGCTCTGGCCGTTGCGGCCATCTGGGGAGTGAACCAGTGGATGGAAGACCTCTCTCTCTCTGTCTCTACCTCTGTCTGTAACTCTGTCTTTCAAATAAATAAAATAAATTAAAAAAATTATTCAGGGATGGGTAGTTAAGACACCTGCATGCCATATCAGTGTTGTTGTTTGAGTCCCGGCTCTGCTCATGATTTGATCTTTTTGCTAACAAAAACTCTGGGAGGCAGCAGTAGCGGCTCAAATTTGTAGGTCCCTGCCACACAGGTGGAAGACACAGATTGGGTTCCTGGTTCTAGCTTTGACGTGGCCCAGCCCTAGCCATTGCAGGCATTTGGAGAAAAACCAGTAGATGGGAGCTCTCTCCTCCTGTCTCTCTGCTTTTCAAAAACAACAACAAAACACAGTTCTTCCATTTTCTTTAACTTTTGAAAAGATTTCCCATTTACTATCTGTGTGACCTTGAACAATTTACTAAGCTTCACTATGCCTTGGCAACCTCATCTGTAAAATGGAACAAATAGTAATGAACTTAGGGAACCACTGTCAAGGTAAAATGAAGCTAACCTCACTACTGGAACAAAAATATTAGTTTCCCAGGGCTGGTGTTGTGGTAAAATGGGTAAAGCTGCTGCCTGCAAAGCAGGCATCTCATAGGGGTGCCAGTTAGTGTCCTGGCTGCTCCACTTCTGATCTTGCTCCCAGCTAATGGCCTTGGAAAGCAGCAGCAGATGACCCAAGTGCTTAGGTCCCTGCCAACCACGTGGAAGACTGGGAAGAAGTTCCCAGTCCTTTGTTCAAGTTGGCTCAGCCCTGGCCGTTGTGGCAACTTGGGGAGTGAAACACTGGATGGGAGATCTTTCTCTCTCTTTCTCTCTCTCTCTCTGTCTCTGTAACTATGACTTTCAAATAAGTAAATCTTAAAAAAAATATATTAATTTGGGGAACAATGCTGTGACTTAGTGGGCTAAGTCTCCATCTGTGGTGCCGGCATCACATGTGGGTGCCCATTTGAGTCCTGGCTGCTCCACTTCTCATCCAGCTCTCTGCTATGGCCTGGGAAAGCGACGGAAGATGGCCCAAGTGTTCGAGCCCTTGTGGGAGACCTAGAAGAAGCTCCTGGCTCCTGGTTTTGGATCGGCTCAGCTCCAGCCATTTTGGCCATCTTGGCCATTTGGGGAGTGAACCAGCAGATGGAAGATCTCTCTCTCTCTGTTTCTCCCTCTCTCTGTAACTCTGCCTCTTAAATAAATAAGTATTTTAAATATGTCAACAACAGGAGTCACTGTGCACTTACTCCTCATGTAGGATCTTTGTCCTTAGTGTGCTGTACATTGAGATTTAATGCTATAACTAGTACTCAAACAGTATTTTTCACTTTATGTTTCTGTGTGGGAGCAAACTGTTGAAATCTTTACTTAATGTATGCTAAACTGACCTTCTGTATATAAAGAGAATTGAAAATGAATCTTGATGTGAATGGAAGGGGAGAGGGAGTGGGAAAGGGGAGGGTTGCGGGTGGGAGGGACGTTATGGGGGGGAAGCCATTGTAATCCATAAGCTGTACTTTGGAAATTTATATTCATTAAATAAAAGTTTAAAAAAATGCATATATTAATTTCCCACTTTTTCCCTTCAGTTACCAGATTTTACACCTAGACTTCATTTAACATTTGAATCTTAACAGTTCTCCCAATTTAGAATCAAGCAACACCAAGTAGAAAACACTTACCTGGACCTAGAATAAAGCCTAATGCTTGACATGTGCTTGTATTTGCCATGGAACTTGTTCTTTCCTGAAGGGAAGTAGCACCAGCAATATATGATCTAACAACAGCTACATTTCCTAAGAAAAAAATGTAACAATCCAAAGTGAAAGAAAATACCGGTCAGTTTATAAAATTAAACTTAATTTGGCTCTATACAGAAGAAATATTGGTCAACAATATGGTCACTATTTCCTCTAAGCACATAAGATTTTTATTGAACTCATCAATCAATGGAACTTAGTACTTTATGGGGGACTGAGTAGCACTTGTCTCCCCAAACCTCATACAGATGCTTAAACTCTGAGGTTGTGCTGTTAATGGTTGATGGAGTAAGAGACTTGATCTAATTATGCCTGTAAGAAGTGGGCCTTGTGAGTTATTTAGGTCACTGGGGACATGCCCTCAGAGGGTGGTTCAGACAGGGTTGATTATTTGAGTTCAAGTTCTGTCTGCTGCCTAGCTCATCATTCTTTCATACCACCATGACCAGCGTCCACCGGGCACCAGACTACTGGGCTGCCTGGTCCTAAACTGTTACCTCCAAACTAACCTGAAACAAACCTTTTCCTTCCTCAGAAGTTCCTCACAGGTATTTTCATTAAAGTAATGAAAGGAAGACTAATACACACAGTTAAAGTACTGAATTAAAAGCAAAAAACATAGTGTATAATAACAGCAAACTTTTTTCATTATTAAACACTGAGAGTGTTTTCATTATTAAACAATGAGAAAAAACATATTACCTGCTCCAAATCCCACCAATCCACGAGCAACCAACATGTAGTATTTATTATGAGAAGCTGGAACGTGGACATATGCATAAAGGCAGTTGGCTGCCACCGAAATAAAGATGGAGACAATGAGAGGTTCTTTTCTTGGCCTATGATTAGACCATAAGCCAAATATAGGTGAAGCTACCATTTGGCCAAGACTAAACGAAGCAATAACCCAGCCCAAAAAACTTGCATCGGCTGTCTTATCAATCTGCAGGAAAAAGTACATGCTTTAAGAATTGTTATGCAAAAAAAGTAAAAATTAAAAATCTAAATACATTAGTCTGACCATGAACATTTTCCTATTAAAAAATAAAAGTGATTCAAATATTTAGGTTCTATAACACTACTACTCATAGTAAGCAATTCAAACATCTGACAACACCATTAAATGAGCTAATATTTGACCATATACAAAGAAAAATGCTTGGAAAGCTTCATATTTTAGAATGACTATGGAAGTTAATAGTTCATAAAAATCTTGCTAAAAAGGTTATTGGGGGGTAGCCAAAGTTGTGGCATAGTGGATAAAGCTGCCACCTGTAGTGCCAGCATTCCATTGGGCACTGGTTTGAGTCTTGGCTGCTCCACTTCCGATCCAGCTCTTCTGCTGTGGCCTGGGAAAGCAGAAAATGGCCCAAGTCCTTGGGCACCTGCACCTGCGTGGGAGATCCGGAGGAAGCTCCTGGCTGCTGGCTTCAGATTGGCTCGGCTCAAGCAGTTGTGGCTACCTAGGGATTGAACCAGCAGATGGAAGACACTCTCTCCCTCTCTCTTTCTCTCTCTCTCTGCTTCTCTGTAGCTCTTTCAAATAAATAAATAAATCTTAAAAAAAAAAAAAAAGTAATTGGGTAGGTATTGTGGTACAGTAGGTTAAACTAATGCTTTGTATATCGACATCCCATATCTGGTCCTGATTCAAATTCCAGCTACTCCATTTCCAACCCAGCTTCCTGCTAATGCACCTGAGAGGCAGCAGATAATGACACAAGTGCTTGCGTTCAAGTGCTTGGATTTCTGCCACTCACGTGGAAGATGTGGATGGAGCTTCTGGCTTTGGCCTGACCTAGCCCTGGCTGTTGTAGGCATCTGGAAACTATACTCACAGATGGAAGATCTGTTTTTCATCTATCACTCTGCTTAAAAAAAAAAAGAGAGAGAGAGAGAGAGATAATTACACTATATACAAAAGCATCCTTAAAAATTTCACAATGCATTTTATGAAAAAAATGTAAAATTAGCAGGGAGCTGGATCAGAAGTGGAGCAGCCAGGACTCTATCTGGTGCCCATATGGGGTGCCGGCAATGCAGGAGGCAGCTTGACCTGCTACACCACAGCACCAGTCCCAGAAAATGAACTTTTTAAACATAGAGAAAAATGGTAGAACAATTTAATAAGAAAAAGAATGGTTTTTTTCTTTCCTAAAAGTATACTTAGATAGCTTATGATGCAACTGTTTTGGTACATTTTCTTTGCAGAGATGAGAAGAGTGAATTAGCGTGACACTTCATATTTAAAGGGTTAGCCCTAAATGTAGTTTTTATTTTGGGCATTCAGGATTTCATTTTCTACCCCTAAGTATTGCCTTTAGTTACTTTGGTCTTCTCTATTTGAATATAAAATAATAATTTCATGTCATATAAATTTTAAATTAATTTTCAAAATAGTAATAAAAATTCTAAATGTTAAGTGTGTAGTGGTTTGAAAACAAAAGGATAAACATGTCTTCTCAGCATACCAACTGATCGCAGTCAAGAGACCATTTCATGGGCAGAAGTGAGATGACTTGATGGTGGTGCTAAGGATGTTTTGTTTTCTGTTCATGAATTAACATCATTAACTCATTTGCTAGAAGCTAAAGGGAACTTTTATTTCAGTTGCATATTAGTTTAAGAACAGTTTTTATGTTTTTGAAAAATTTATTTATTTTAAAGGCAGAAAGAGAGAGAGACGGTTTTCCTTCTGCTGGTTCACTCCCTAAATGCCCATATCTGAAGCTAGAAACCTGGACTCATTCCAGGGCTCACATATAGGTGGCAGGGACCCAAGCACTTGAGCCACCATCTGCTGCCTCCCAGGGTGTGCATTAGCAGGGAGCTGGAATTGGAATAAGAGCCTCAACTCAAACCCAGGCACTCCAATATGGGATGCAGGTATCCCAAGAGGCATCATCACTGCAGTGCCAAATGTCCACACCTTAATTGCATGTTACCGTTTACAGTGACTGGAAAACTAGAATCTGCTAAAAGTCTGCTATAATTCTAACAAGAAAGCAAAACAGGCCGGCGCCACGGCTCACTAGGCTAATCCTCCGCCTAGCGGCGCCGGCACACCGGGTTCTAGTCCCGGTCGGGGCGCCGGATTCTGTCCCGGTTGCCCCTCTTCCAGGCCAGCCCTCTGCTGTGGCCAGGGAGTGCAGTGGAGGATGGCCCAGGTGCTTGGGCCCTGCACCCCATGGGAGACCAGGAAAAGCACCTGGCTCCTGGCTCCTGCCATCGGATCAGCGCGGTGCGCCGGCCGCAGCGCGCCGACCGCGGCGGCCATTGGAGGGTGAACCAGCGGCAAAGGAAGACCTTTCTCTCTGTCTCTCTCTCTCACTGTCCACTCTGCCTGTCAAAAAAATAAATAAATAAAAAAAAAAAAAAAAAAAGCAAAACAGTTTGGAAAAGTGTCATTCCAGGAAAGGACTGTTTGTTACCTGTGATCTAGTGTGTTTCTCTGCCTTAGAGTGATGACAGCATACCATTTCCAGTTCTCTGCCTACCCCTCTGATGATCTCTACCATGGTTTATTATTTTTTTTCCAGGATAAAATCTAAACTGGTTATTATGAAAAACTAGTCATGAGCTGACCATTAATCCCCTCTCTCATCTCATCCCTCTGTATGTTCCTTTCTCTCAATTTTAACGGCCAAAATAAGTCATGTTTTTTGTCTCCAGGTTATTTGTAAAGATTCTCTTATCGCCCCTTACACCAGAAGTGCCTTCCCAACCCTCCTACACCTACATCTTCCTACAGATTTTCAAAACTCAGCTCAGTGGTTACTGATTTTGTAGTCTCCAAGATCTCTTCAGTTTGAATTAGCAATATCCTCCTAATCCTCTCTGTCTGTCTGTCTCTCTCAAACACATCCACATGCATACACAACCATACTTTTAAATTTTTACCCATGTGATCGGCGCTGTGGCTTAGCAGGTAAAGCAGCTGCCTGCAGTGCCAGCATCCCATATGGGCACCAGTTGAGTCCCAGATGCTCCACTCTCAATCCAGCTCTCTGCTATGGCCTGGGAAAGCAGTAGACCCCTGTACCCATGTGGAAGACCTTGAAGAAGCTCCTGGCTCCTGGCTTCGGATCAGTGCAGCTCTGGCCGTTGCAGTCAATTGGGGAGTGAATCAGTGGATCGAAGGTCTCTCTCTCTCTCTCTCTCTGTCTCTGTGTAACTCTGACTTTCAAATAAATAAATCTTTAAAAGAATTTTTTTTACCTATTTACAAGTGAATAATTTTCTGTAAACTTTTTTTTTCACTGCAGTGAAAGTTGAATTTATAGTATATGAATTAAAAACAAACAAAAAATATCCTGAATAGCTTTGTTACTGAATTTCAAAACATTATTTTCTGAAAATGTAATAATATTAACAAAGTCAAATTCTAGAAACATTAATGCTGTGCTATGGGAGCTTATAGATGGCCTCAAGTCTCTTTTAATGATTTACTTACAGGTAATTGTCTATTCACTCAATTAATAGTCACTGAGGCCTTTTCTGTAATAAAAATTTGTGTCAGGCAATAGGAATGCAAAGATGAATCAACAGTTCCTGCCATCAAGGAGTTTCCTAACCAGGATCTACATATTTGGCTCTGAAAACTCTTGAGTAGCTAGGAAAGTATACAGCATGCTTTATTTCTTCATTTGTGAAATGTGGATAACTTCACAGAGTTATTTTAAGAATTAAACCACGAGTTGAAAGCTGTTGTTTAGCAGGTAAAGCCACCGCTTGCAGTGCTGGCATCCCATATGGACGCTGATTCAAATCCCAGCTGCTCCACTTCCGATCCAGCTCTCTACTATAGCTTGGGAAAGCTGCAGAAGATGGTCCAGGTTCATGGGACCCTGCACTCACGTGGGAGACCTGGAAAAAGCTCCTGGCTCTGGCTTTAGATCAGCACAGCTCCAGCCATTGCAGCCACTTGGAAAGTGAATTAGTGGATGAAAGACCTCTCTCTCTCTCTCTCTCTCTCTGTCTCTGCCTTTCAAATAAATAAATAAATCTTAAAAAAAAAAAAAAAGAAAAAGAATTAAGCCAGTACAGGTAAAGTGCCTAGGACCATGTCAACATGTATTGTGCAGTTAATGAATGTCACTTATATGATGTAAGAACACATATTTCTCAGTATTTTCTTTTACTACCATATTAGTTTTATTATCATGTGTTACTATAATTTTTTTAAGATTTATTTTTATTTATTTGAAAGCGTTAGAGAGACAGAGACAGAGAGAGAGAGACAGAGAGAGAGAGAGAGAGGTCTTCCACCCACTGGTTCAATCCCCAAATGGCTGAAATGGCCAGAGCTGAGCTGATCCGAAGCCAGGAGCCAGGAGCTTCTGCCGGGTCTCCCATGTGGGTGCAGGGACCCAAGAACTTGGGCCATCTTCTACTGCTTTCCCAGGCCATAGCAGAGAGCTAGATTGGAAGAGGAGCAGCAAGGACTCGAACCAGCAATCATATGGGATGCCGGCACTTCAAGCTAGAGCTTAAACCAACTGCATCACAGTGCAGTATTATATGTATTATAATTAGTACATGAGTATCCCCAATAACTCTCTAAGCTTATAGAATAAATCCATTGTTTCAGTTTGAAATCTGAATGTTAAGAGTGAGTCTCCCTAGAGATCAGTCCCACTTCTGGACAACACAACCTAAGGAATCACTTGACTAATACCTATCAGTCAGGGCCAGGAGGTACAAATTCATGGTAGTACCAAATTTCTTTTGATCAATTTACTGGTTTTTATTTATTTATTTATTTATTTTATTTTATTTTTTTTTCTGGCCAGGGTCGGGGTGTGAAAAGCGGGAGGGAATGCCTAGCTTTCTCAGAGATGGCTTATTATTTATTTTATCTATTTGAATGGCAGAGTTAGAGAGAGAAAGGGGAGACAGAGAAAGAAAGATCTTCTAACCACTGGTTAACTCCCCAAATGGCAGCAACAGCCTGGGCTGTGCCAGGCCTAACCAGGAGACCAGAACTCCATCTGGGTCTCCCAGTGGGTGGCAGTGGCCCACATACTTCGGCCACTTTCTGCTGCTTTCCCAGGCGCATTAGCAGGGAGCTAGGTCAGAGATGGAGCAGCCAGGACTCAAACTGGTGCTTATATGGGATGCCAGCATCTCAGGAAGCAGCTCTTAACCTAATGTACCACAATGCTGGCCCCACAAAGATGGTTTTAAGCTAAGTAATTTTTGAAAAAATCTATCATAAAAGGGATAATAGCCTTAAATTGATAAATAAAAATATTTAACTTAATACATAATATGGAAATGTGCTGAAGAGTCAAGTTTTTTTATAGGTAATCTTGGCTCTGTCATTTTCTAGCCATGTGACCCTGGGTATGCCACCTATCTTTTCAGAACCTGCATTCTTCATCTGCTAAACAAGAATGACAGGTGCCACCTCCCAGGGTTGTTTTAAAGATCAAAAGATGGTAGATGTGGAAGGTTTAATACTATGTCTGGCAAACAGTAAGCTCTCAGTATTATTGTACCTTTAAAAAGTTAAATGAGGGGCTGGCATTGTAGCGTATTGGGCAAAGCCTCCACCTGCAGTGCCAGCATCCCACATGGGTGCCGGTTTGAGTTTCAGCTGCTCCACTTCCGATACAGCTCTCTGAGAAAGCAGCAGAAGATGGTCTAAGTCCTTGGGCCCTGCACCCACATGGGAGACCCAGATGAAGTTCTAAGCTCTTGGCTCCTGGTTTTGGATCAGCACAGCTCCAGCAGCTGCAGCATTCTGGGGAATGAACCAGCAGATGGATGACCTCTCTCTCTGCCTCTGCCTCTCTGTAACTCTGCCTTTCAAATATAAATAAATATTTTTTTAAAAGTTAAATCATATTGTTTTTGCAAGAAAAGATACATTTGTATTGCTAAAGGACCATTTATCAGTTCATACATTCAATAAATTTATCTCTGATGAGTTTTTAAATATCTGATGAAAGTATGCCTTTTTAAAATTCAACATATTGTGGCCGGCACCACGGCTCAATAGGCTAATCCTCCGCCTGAGGCACCGGCACACCGGGTTCTAGTCCCGGTCAGGGCGCCGGTCCTGTCCCAGCTGCCCCTCTTCCAGGCCAGCTCTCTGCTGTGGCCCGGGAGGGCAGTGGAGGATGGCCCAAGTGCTTGGGCCCTGCACCCCATGGGAGACCAGGGTAAGTACCTGGCTCCTGCCTTCGGATCAGCGCGGTGCGCTGGCCACAGTGCGCCGGCTGCGGCGGCCATTGGAGGGTGAACCAACAGCAAAGGAAGATCTTTCTCTCTGTCTCTCTCTGTCCATTCTGCCTGTCCAAAAAAAAAAAAAAAAAAAAAAAAAAATCAACATATTCTGATGAGTAGACCTAATTATTACAAATTTCCTCCTTTTGAGAACCTTGGGAGTTAAAAGACCAAGAAATCAGGAGTTTTTATACACAGATGTCACTCCAAAATTGTTAAATTCCCTGCTCCAACTCTAATGAGCTTGCCAGTGGGAAAGAACTTTTAGTGTAATAGATAATCATTTCATGTAAAAAATTATTTTTTAAAGAATTATTTATTTCAAAGGCAAACTTACAAAGAGAGATCTTCCATCTGCTGGTTTACTCCCCAGATGGCTGCAATGGCTGGGGTGAGGCCAGGCCAAAGCTAGGAGGCAGGAACTTCTCCTACGTCTCCCATGTTGGTGCAGGGGCCCAAGCACTTGGGCCATCCTCTGCTGCTTTCCCAGGAGCATTAGCAGGGAACTGGATCAAAAGTGGAGCAGTGGGTACTTGAGCCAGTACCCATACAGGATGTCAGTGTCACAGGCAACAACTTAATCTGCTACACCACAACCCTGGCCCCTAATTTTAATTTTCAAAATAGCAGTGAAAATGTGAAATTAGTAAAAAATGAAATTTGTAGCTAATTGTATTATTCTGTTTCCATTCTTTAAAAAATATTCTTGCTGGTGCTGCAGCTCACTGGGCTAATCCTCCGCCTGCGGCGCTAGCACCCCAGATTTTGTCCTGCTTGTTCCTCTTCCAGTCCAGCTCTCTGCTGTGGCCTGGGAAGGCAGTGGAGGATGGCCCAAGTGCTTGGGCCCTGCATCCACATGGGAGACCAGGAGGAAGCATCTGGCTCCTGGCTTCGGATCGGCGCAGTGCGCCGGCCATGGCGACCACTTGGGGGGGTGAACCAATGGAGGGAAGACCTTTCTCTCTCTCTCTCTCTCTCTCACTAACTCTGCCTGTCAAAAAAAAATATTCTTTAGAACAGCATTTTCAAAAAGTACAAATCTAGGTGGGTGTTGGGTGCTGCAAGTTAAATCACTGCTTGGGACACCAGCATCCCATATCAGAGTACCTATTTGAGTGCCAGCTACTCTGCTTCTGATCCACCTTCCTGCTAATGTGCTTGGAAAGCATTAAATAAATGATGGCTCAAGTATGTGAGTCCCACCTGGTTGTAGTTCTTGGCATATGACTTCAGACTGGCCCAGCCCCAATAGTTGCAGCCATTTGGAGAGTGGAAGTCTGTCACTCTGCCTTTCAAATAAAGAAATCGTCTTTAAAAAGTAAAAATTCATAAAAACTAAGAAATATAAAATGTGAATAATTTTTTACATAAAAATTTTATTTTAGAATACTTTTAGACTTATAGAAAAATTGTCAACATGATACATATAAGTCTTTTATACCCTACCCACCCCATGTCCTCTATTATTAACATCCTACATTAGCTTGCTACATTTGTCACAATTAATGAACAAATATTGATATAATAGTACTAACTAAAGTTCAAACTTTGTTCAAATATATCTTTTTCCCAAATGACATTTTTCTGTTCCATAATCTCATCCACATTCACATTATATTCAGACCTTATGCCTCCTTAGACATTCCTCTTGGCTGTGAGTTTCTCAAGACTCCCCTGATTTCAGATGACCTTGACAGTTTTGAAGAGTACTGTGATATTTTGTAGAACACCCTTCACTTGGTGTTTTTCAGATTTTTTTTCAGAACTGGACTGGGGTTCAGGTTTGGGAAGGAGGGGTAAAGTGCCAATTTCATCACATCACATCACATCATATCAAGGGCACATACTACTAACATGACCATCACTCATTGATGCTGCCCTTGAAGACCTGGATGAGGTAGTATTTGTCAGATTCCTCCACTATAAAGCTACTTTCACCCCAACCATATCTGCACTCTTTGGAAGGAAGTCATCATGTACATGTAGCCCACCACTTAAGGAATGAAGAGTTGAGCTCTACCTCTTTGAGAGTAAAGTATCTATAAAATTATTTGAAATTTTTCTGGACTGGAAATTTGTCATTTATTTATTATTCATGAATATTTATTTTCATACTTTGGGTTACAATTCAATGCAACTTCATTTAAAATTCAAGGGTGGGGAATCTATTTTTCTGTCAAGGGCCATTTGGATATTTATAACATCACTCACAGGTCATATAAAATCATCAACTTAAAAATTAGCCCGCTAGGGGCTGGCACTGTGATGTAGTAGTTTAGCATTCGCTTGTGGGGCTAGCATCCCATATGGGTGCTGGTTCGAGTCTCAGCTGCTCCACTTCCAATCCAATTCCCTGTCGATAGCGGGGAATGCAGTACAAAATGGCCCAGGTGCTTGGGGCCCCTGCACCCGCATGGGAGACCCAAAAGAAGCTCCTGGCTCCTAGCTTCGGATAGGTTCAGCTCCAGCCGTTTCGGCCATTTAGGGAGTGAACCATGGATGGAAGACCTCTCTCTCTGTCTCTCCCTCTCTCTGTCTTTAGCTATGTCTCCTAAGCAAATAAATAAACTTAAAAAAAAAAAAAAAGATACAGGATCTCTAATAAAACAAAAACAAAACAAGCCTGCTAGATATTTATTGAATTTTAAGTCTCACCTGTAGTTGCCTTGGCAGGACCAGACCAAATATTTCGCAGGTCTTCTACAGCCTGCAGGCCAGACATTCACCAAATTGGTCCAGCTTTGGCTATCTGGAGTTTCACCTGGTTCTTGTGTCCCTTTGACATATCCCCAACATTCTGTATTTGTTTTTGTTTTTAGCAATTCCTTACTTATACAATCTGAAACTTTTTATTTCCTGTTGCAGCCCTAAAAGGAGGGAGGTTTCTTCTATTAGAGAACAGTATGAGAATGTAATGTCTGGGCACTACATTTTGCTAGTTGCTATTGGGATGTCATTGTTTTTAGGCCCTCTCAGCTAACAGGGCAAGGAAATTTATGTGAGCATGCTAACTTGTGCAAACACATCTACAAATAAAACATTTGTTATATTTTATTAAGCTAGATGTAAGTTCATATGGTATCTCCAATTCTAACACATTACGGCATGATCATTCCAGTATCTTCTGCTTGCTTATGTGCAATTTCCCATTCCAGTAATGAGAAACCTGCCTTTCATTAACTAGTTAATTTTTAATTTTCAGCATGTTTATAGTGGTTTCATAATTATTGCATGTGCCCCTCTGGGATACAGCTTTGTCAACTAGAGTTTTACCTTTGGTTTTATAGACTCTACTTATTTCTAGTTACTTAGTGCAGAACTCTTCTTCCACACTAACGAGGTTGTTTCATACATTTGTAACAATGATTTTGTGGCATTTTGAAGGCAGAATCCTCTACTCCATGATCTCCTAAATGATATTTTTAAAAAATTCACATAAAGTTCATCTTTGTGTGGTACATTTCTATAGGTTTTGACAAACGTATAATGTCATATATCTACCACTACAGTGCCATATGGAATAATTTCACTGCCCTAAAGATATCCCTTGTGCTTTGCCTATTCAACTCATCCTCTCCCTACCCCAAACTCCTGGAAACCACTGATATATCTACCATCTCTCTACATGTCTGTGCCTTTTTTCAGAATTCAAATTAACTGAAATTAATTGTAGACATTTCATACTTGCTTCTTTTACTAGCAATATGCATTTAAGATCCATCTGTGTCTTTTTTTTTTTAGAAGATTTTATTTATTTATTTGAGAGGTAGAATTATAGACAGTGAGAGGGAGAGACAGAGAGAAAGGTCTTCTTCATGTTGGTTCACTTCCCAAGGCTGCAACAGCTGGAGCTGTGCCGATTCAAAGCCAGGAGCCTCTTCCTGGTCTCCCATGTGGGTGTAGGGATCCAAGCATTTGGGTCATCTTTACTGCTTTCTCAGGTCACAGCAGAGAGCTGGATTGGAAGTGGAGCAGCTGGGACTAGAACCGGTACCCATATGGGATGCCGGCGCCACAGGCAGAGGATTAACCTGGCCCCATCTGTGTCTTTATGTGACTTGATAGTTCATTCCTTTTTTATTACTGAATAGTATTCCATAATACAGATGTATTACAGTTTATTTATACATTCACTGGTTAAAGTATATCTTGCTTATTTCAGTTTTTTGCAATTGTGAAGAAAGCTACTATGAGCACTTACATGGAGATTTTTGTGTTAACAACAGTGTTCAAGTCAGTTGAGTAAATATCTGGGAGGATGATTGCTGGATCATAGAATAAGGCTACACTAGCTTTGTAAGAAACTGCCAAACTGTATTCCAAAGTAGTCATATCATTTATCATTTCCACTGTAACCCTTTGTAGGTCTAGAGTAGTATTTAATTGAAACCATTTGACTATCCTATTAATCTAGTAGAATAGTGAGATAAAATCTCTGTAAACACACTTAGAACGTTCATGGTAGATGCTAAGGACAATGGGATATGTAACTATAGTTGTTCTTCAGTATCTATGGAGGACTGCTTCCAGAACCCACTGATGGAAAAATCTATGACTGCTCAAGTCCCTTAAATCACCTCTGGGTTACTTATAATACCTAATAAAATGTAAATGTTATGCTTCATTGTTTAGGGAATAATGGCAAGAATATAGTCTACATCTTCACTACAGATGCACTTTTCTTTGAATATTTTCTTTAAAAAAAAAAAAAAAAAGGATTTATTGGGGCCAGCGCTATGATGCAGCAGGTTAAAGCCCTGGCCTGAAGTGCTGGCATCCCATGTGGGTTCCGGTTCTAGTCCCAGCTGCTCCTCTTCCAATCCAGCTCTCTGCTGTGGACTGGGAAAGCAGTAGAAGATGGCCCAAATCCTTGCACCCTTGCATCCACATGGGAGACTCAGAAGAATCTCCTGGCTCCTGGCTTCGGATTGGCGCAGCTCCAGACATTGCGGCCATCTGGGGAGTGAACCAGCTGATGGAAGACCTCTCTGTCTCTACCTCTCTCTGCAACTCTATCAAATAAATAAAATAAATCTTTAAAAAAAAAGGATTTATTTTTTATTTATTTGAAAGGCGGAGTTACAGAGAGAGAAGGAGAGATTAAGATATATCTTCCATCTGTCGCTCCCCCTCTTCATGGAGGAACGACACAGGACCCTACGCTGTTCTTTCGTCTGCTCGGCCCTCCCCGGGTTTGCTGCTGGTTCTTCCCGGGTTGGCTACTGTCCCTTCCACCTCCGTGGAAGGGCGGTTCCCCCTGGCCACTTTCCCCACTTCCGCAGGGGAGCGGCACACCGCCGGCCGGCTCTCTTGGGGGCTGCACAGGTGTTCCCCTTAGATGTTCCTGGTGCATGCCGTCTCTCTCCTCCTTTATAGTCCTCCTCCGCCAATCCCAACTCGGCTGCCCACACGCCAAGTACGCTGCTCTCCTCCAATCAGGAGCAAGTCCTACAGTTTATTGGCTGAACTGGAGGCAGCTGTGTAGAAGCTGTTTTCTCCTCTCCCAGCGCCATATTGTGGGAGAGCAGATGCATAGAATAAGTCTTAATTCCAGTAACTTAGTCTAGTCCGGGTTGCTCCCCACACCATCTGCTGGTTCACTCCCCAGATGGATGCAATGGCCAGGTCTGGGCAAGGCTGAAGCCAGGAGTCAAGAGATTCTTCCAGGTCTCCCACATGGGTGCACTTGGGACTATCCTTCACTGCTTTCCCAGGCACATTAGGAGGGAGCTGGATCAGAAATAGAGCAGCTAAATCTCAAACAAGAGCTCATATAGGATGCCCACATTGCATGTGGAGGCTTAACCTTCTGTGCCACAACGCTGGCCCCTTACCGCATATTTTCAATCTGCAGTTGGTTAGATCCACAGGTGCAGATCTATATACAGGAAAGCCTTCTTACCCATCTCGGGTGAGGAGTGTTGGAAAAGGCTTCCAGAGGAGGTAACTCTGAAGCAAAGTGTTGAAGAAGGAAGTGGGGAGGAAGGAATGCAGAGAGAACAGGCAAGATGGAGGGAGTAAAAAAAGGAAAAAGTGTGCAAACACCTGAGGAATTTGAAGCATAACTGTATTATTTATTCTTTTCACAATGTTACCCGACAACCCAAATTAATTTAATGGTAACAGTATGAAATTATCCCTCAAAAATATCATTTGTATATTTTGGGGATTCAGATTATATTCATTTTATTTTCCTTTATATTAGCGAAGCAGCAGTGATAGGACAGAAAAGTGGCTGATAAGCAGGTGACCATACATATGTCTACATTTGCCTGGGATCTTCTTGGTATAATCCTATTTTTCTAGAGTAGCATGTGTTTCATTTCAAAACTATTCTGTTTCGCATAATAAATCATATGGTCACCTTACTTATATGGCTTTTTTGAGGAACTGTTATCTTAAGTTATTTTAGTAGAGATTAAATCACAGAACTCTAAAAAGATTATCTGGAAAATATTTAACTATGTAACAGCCAATACTACTACAGTTACTTAAGAATAGAGTAAAACATACAAACCTTTTGGAGATATGGCCATATTGACATGATCACAATAGAAAACCCTGTGAAGAGGCAAACGTGGTTATTTCATCTTAAAGTAATTTAATCACTATTGCAGATACAATTTTTGGAACTATAGCATGGATTTTTTTTTTTGTTTTAGTTAATTAATTTATTTCAGAGGCAGAGATGCAGAGTAAAAGGGACACATAATTCCCATCAGCTGGTTCAGCAGTCTCCAAATGGCCAGGCCTAAGCTGGCACTGAAGCCAGGAGCCAGGAATGCACTGCAGGTTTCCCATTTGGTTGGTGGGAACTCAACCACTTGGGCCATTCTCTGTGCCTCCCAGTGTCTCCATTAGCAAGACGGTGGAATCAGGAGCCAGAGCCAGGACTTGAACCCAATGTGGGACATGGGCATCTTAACTGCTATGTTGAACACTCACCCCTATAGCATGGATTTTAAAATACCATTCTGAATACACAAATGTGTGCATATAAAGGCCAACTTTATGAAATGAACAAAAAATAAATTGTAGACATTTTGCTAGCTAAATGCCTCCTTTCACCTTCCTGATGGGATTGATCTCTTCTTCACAATTTATTGCCTTTTGTTAATATGGTATATAACAGAGCCTAATTGCTTCTTTAAGATTTTCATTTCTTTACTTTGAAATCACTCATGTCACCTAAAAATATTAACATCAAATAAATTTGTACGCTTTGCCCCATTAATTTTTGTTGCCTAAATTCACAGGCCTCAGACAAAGAATGTGATAAAGTTTTGTTTTTTTTTTTTTTCCATACAAAAGACGATTGACATCATTTAAAAAAGAAGGACATTTTGGGACCAGTGCTGTGGCTTAGTGGGTAAAGTGGCCACCTGCAGTGCCAGCATCTCATATGGGTGCCCATTCAAGTCCCGGATGCTCCACTTGATTCAGCTCTCTGCTATGGCCTGGGAAAGCAATAAAAGATGGCCCAAGTCTTTGGCACCCACGTGGGAAACCTGGAAGAAGTTCCTGGCTCCTGGCTTTGAATCAATGCAGCTCCAACCATTGTGGTCAACAGGGGAGTGAATCAGAGGATGGAAGACCTCTCTCTCTCTCTCTCTCTCTCTCTCTCTCTCTGCCTCTCCTACTCTCTCTGTAACTCTTTCAAATAAAAAAAAAAAAAAAAAAGGAAGAAGATGATGACCAAAGTCCTTGTGCCCCTGCACCCACGTGGGAGCCATTGTAGCCAACTGGGGAGTGATCCAGCAGATACAAGACTTTTCTCTCTCTCTCTCTGACTTTCTTTCTCTCTTTGTGTAACTCTGACTTTCAAATACATAAATAAATCTTTAAAAAAAAAAAAGAGAGAGGACATTTTGACAAATGCTACAACGTGGATGAAAATTGAAAATATTTTGACAAGTGAATAAATTACTCACAAAAAGTAAATTCTGCACAATTTTTTTTTTTTTTTTTTTTGGACCGGCAGAGTGGACAGTGAGAGAGAGAGACGGAGAAAGGTCTTCCTTTTGCCGTTGGTTCACCCTCCAACTGTGGCCGGCACATTGCGCTGATCCGAAGCCAGGAGCCAGGTGCTTCTCCTGGTCTCCCATGGGGTGCAGGGCCCAAGCACTTGGGCCATCCTCCACTGCACTCTCGGGCCACAGCAGAGAACTGGACTGGAAGAGGAGCACCTGGGACAGAATCTGGTGCCCCGACTGGGACTAGAACCCAGTATGCCGGCACCACAAGGCGGAGGATTAGCCTATTGAGCCACAGCGCCGGCCCCAAATTCTGTACAATTTTATGTATATGAGATATCTCGGAATGGTGATTGCCCGGAATTGCAGGAGGGGTGATGAGGAGTTGTTTAATGAATACAAAGTTTTAGTTTTGCAGCATGAAAACATTCTAGAGACTAGCTGCCTGACATTATTGAACTTAAAAATGATAACATGGTAAACTTGAGTTACATACTTTTAGCACAATAAAAGATAATTAGATGAGGCTAAAATAGAACACTATCTGAATGTACAAAATTATGAGTAACTTCTAATACTTACCTACACTGCTGAGAAACATAGTAAGATATAGAATCCTAATAGATCTCCATCGGCTTTTATAATGCTCTTCGGTTTCTACAACATCTCCTTCTCTAGGTATAAAGAAGAAAAAGTAGAACAGGTTGGGCATTCCTAATCCAAAAATCTGAAATCCAAAGTGCTTGAAAATTCAAAATTTTTTGCTGCTGACATGATGCCACAAAATAGAAAATTCTACACATGACCTCATGTGAGAAATGAGAGTGAAACAGTGAGCCCACTGAAAATACTATATAGAATTATCCTCAGACTTTGTGAAAAAGAAATATATGACAAGTAAGTTAATTTTGTGTTTTGACTTGAGTGCCATCCCCAATATATCTTCATATGCAAATATTCCAAAATTTGAAAAAGGCAAAAGTCTGAAACACATCTGGTCCCAAGCATTTCAACATTTATGTGTTGACAATTTACATGTTAATTTTATTTTTTCTCCCTTAAATTCATGAAAATGATATGAAAGAGGTAGAATTTACTAATATTGGTTTCTTGCTGTACCAATTCACCTGTAAATAAGCATTATTTTCGTGTTTGTACATCATTATATAGAAACCTGAAAGACCTAAAATAGTTCAAAAATACAAAACACTTCATAAAGCAGTTATTTTCCTATTATTGGCATGTATGAATTTACTGATCAAAAGTGTTGAAATGTTAAAGTAATAAGGTGGATTAAACTATATCAAGATAAATCAAACTAGCTTCAATAATTAGATCTTCCACAGGTGGAAAATGGAGCTATAATGTATTAAGATAATTACTATCACCATTCTAACATGCTATACTTGATGCTACCAAGTAAATCATGTTGCAAGAAGCTATTTTGGTTTAGTATTTCAGCAAAATTAATGCAGCATAAAGATTTAGCAGAACCTAAAACATTCCCAGGACTGGAACCTCCTGGAACACATGCCTTTGCTCCAATATTATTACCAGATAAATTCTACTAACAGACCAAAGGAAAATCAACCCTCCAGACTGGGTTTAGACTCTAGATAAGTCTCTGACCTTTAACCTGGATTAAGGGCAAGTATACTAACTATGACATTCTATTTCCATTAAGCAATAATACACAAGTGTTTATACTGATTACAAGTTCACTTTACACATATAGAAAGAGTTAATAAGTTTACCTTAATGTTAGTATTATGTATTCAAGTAATTATGGAAAGCATCAGACAAAATGCTTCTTGTGTTTCAAGATTATTGTTTTAATTTCATGTATTTAAAAGGGAGAGAGAGAGAGAGAGATTTCCCATCTGCTAGTTTACTCCCCAGATATCTGAAACAGCTGGGACTGGGCCAGGCCAAAGCAAAGAACCAGGAACACACTCTGGGTCTCCCACATGGGTGACAGGGATGCAAGTAACTGAGTCATCACCTGCTGCTTGCAAGGATGTATATTAGCAGGAAGCTGGCATTGCAAGTGGAGCTGGGATCTGAACCCAAGCACTCCAACAGGGGATGCAGGCATCCCCCAAAAATCTTAGCCCTCTAGGTCACAATGCCCACAACCAAAATAACACATTATAGATTTAATATGTGTCAAGTATATTAGTTTCCGATATAATATATGTGAAGTGTTTAACACTGTATTTGCTATTCCACATAGGCAACCATAATGTAACCTATGCCAAAAACACCAGAATCCTAGACCCTCACCTGGAAATCAGTACACTAGAATTTGGAATATATAATGTAAGTTATATACTAGTATATAGTATATATAATAGTTGCACATATAGTTTTTTTATTTTTTTCCAGTTATGCCACTTTATTATTTCACATTGTTAGCAAACAAATCAAGGTGCAAACAGGGTTTATTTCACATTAATATATTAACTGGCTTTTTTTTTTTTGTCAAATAAATAGGGAATTCTCTTTAAATAACCATCTCCTCACTTGGTGGCCAGTCAGGGAACAAACTAGAGCAATGTTAGTGCATCCACGGCTGCAGGGAAGCGGGCCGCGGGGCGGGCACAGGGCTCCGGCAGCACACGGGGCGGTGGCCTGGTCCCCAGCGCGCCTTACAGCACTGCTCAGCTCCGCTCAGGAAGCAGAGTTCAGGAACGCCAGCAGGGGGCAGACCGGCTCCCGTCCTGGCTGCAGTGGATGGCTCACGGTAGCTTCCGAAGTCACAAATGTGGCGACAGAATAGCTAAGGACAAGGAGAGGCAGCTGGGGGGGAGGGGAGGGGCTTTGCTGGCTGGGCCAGAAGGGGGCCTTCCCGGGCTATACAAAAGACCAATGCAGGGAGGTGACAGAGCCTGCAGGGACCTGCATGGAAGACATGAGGCAGGTCTGCCGGAGCTCAGGACAGAGGGCAGGAGGTTACCAGACCCGGGGAGTTGGACTGCGGTGAGGAGGTAGCCAAAGAGTCCCGCCGTGGGGAGAAGCTATATACTATATACTATATATATATATATATATATATAGTGTGTGTGTGTATATATCTATATATATATAGACATTTATATATATGTGTGTGTGTATGTGTGTGTATATCTATCTATCTATCTATATATAAATAGACATTTGACCTAGAGGTAAGCAACACATTAGGATACTCACATCCCATATGGGAGTACCTAGGTTTGAGTCCTGGCTCTGTTTCTGATTCTAGATTCCTGCTAACAAGCACCCTGGGAGGCAGCAGATGATGGCTCAATTAGTTGGGTCCCTGCCACTCACATGGGAAACCTATATTGAGTTCCACACTCCAGTTTTTGGACTGGCCCATTCTGGACCATTGCAGGCATTGGGGAGTGAACTAGCAGCTGAGAGATCTGTTTCTCTGGCTTTCAAATAAAAATTTTAAAAGTAAATATTTTTTTCTTCTTGATCTTTTTTTAAAGATTTATTTATTTATTTGAAAGGCAGAGTTACAGAGAGGCAGAGGCAGAGGGAGAGGCAGGTGGGGGTGGTCTTCTATCTGTTGGTTTACTCCCCAGATAGTCCCAATGGCCAGAGCTGTGCCAATCGGAAGCCAGGAGCCTGGAGCTTCTTCCGGGTCTCCCATGAGAGTTCAGGGGCCCAAGGACTTGAGCCATCTTCCACTGCTTTCCCAGGTCACAGCAGAGAGCTGGATCGGAAATGGAGTAGACAGGACCCAAATTGGCACCCATATGGGATGCCGGTACTGCAGGTGGCTGCTTTATCTGCTACACCACAGCGCCAGCCCTTTTTTCTTCTTTTAACGCTAACTATTAAATAATTGAAGAGATGATAAAATTAGAGAATCATAATTTAATGGCCATTTTCCATGGATTAATGGATGAAAACAAGGACCATCAATTGATAATAAAACAACTGAATTTCCAGTGGCTTCTTTCTTGGATCACCTGGGCACAAGAAGGAACGCTGCACTTTCAAGGTGATTTGTTTAACTTTTAAAATTCCTTTCTACTATTATTGTTGTATTCTGGTATTAGTTCTCCATCTGAGATTCTCCTTCAAGTACAATTGTGTGCTACTGGTGTTGTATTGTCCAACATTTCTATTATAGTTTATTACTCCAAATGATAATGTGCTTATCAAACCTGTGACTTTAGAACTACAAAAAATACACAATATACCAGAGTGTATCAATCACCAAAATAAGTCAGACATAATTTAGTAGGAATTTTTAAAAAGTGCCATATTTGGTTCAATACATTGAAAGTATGACAATATCTAGTACAAGGAAACTCAGTTAAGTGACGTTACTGTATTTGCAAAAAGCAACACGGGATTTATCAGTGGAAAAGAGAAAATCTGTGAACTACTACTAAAGAGCAAAAATGAACCCATGTTCAAAAAGGGTAAGAGAAAAAAGGTATGCACACTGACAAAACAGTGTGATGGAATAATAGTTACAGAAGTAAGACAGAAATAAGCTGAGAATATTCTAGTACACTCTGTAGGGACAGAAACTCTAGTAATATTTGTTTTACAGAGGCTAAGCTAGAGTTTCAAAGATTTGAAAGCACTTGGGACATTTCAAGATATTCTATGAGAAGGGTCAGCAAAGTATTTTGTACAAGCCAAATCTAGCCCACTACTTCTTTCTGTATGGGTAATGAGCTAAAAATGTTTTCTTTTACCGTCTATTTATTTATTTTGCAAGTACAAACCAGTGCCCATCTGGGATGCCAGCATCACAGGCGGTGGCTTTACCCACTATGCCACAATACCAGCCCCAGAATGGTTTTTGAGAGATATTTGTAATCAATTTGATGATAGAAAACATTAATTTTGAACTCCAAGGAAACTATCATCCCCCCATGGTTCTCATTAATTGAACTATTTTACAAAATATTATATGTTTTATATTATATATTTAAACATTATATATTTTAAATTACTGAACATTTTTGTGAATTTGTTTTGTTATCAAAGTATATAGATAAAAAAGTATATAGATAAAAGTTTGTCAAAAAGTTCATGGAAAAAATGGAATTAAAAATGTTCATTTTGGTGCAGAAATTTTTGAAACCCATCTTGTTTTTATAACAAGCATTTTCATCATACTCATTTTCTATAAACTTTTTGAAGACTATATGTATAATATTCTTGATTTTTCCATTTGGCTTGAACAGATCTAAAATATTTACCATCTAGGCTTTAGCAGAAAAAGTTTGCCAACTCCTGTTCTCTTAAATAAAGTTCTCTAAAAGGAGTCAGGTCAGCAACCTAGCCCTACAGACCAGCCAATTATCACCAACCTGGTTAGTGAGAGGGTTGGTGGTGACCTAGATTCGAGCACATGTGATTTACTCAAAGTGAACAGGGCCTGCCAGTTAGCTGCAAGTTAACTTTGCTAGGGAATCTAATTCTGGTTTGTTTTTTTTTGTTTTTTGTTTTTTGTTTTTTTGTGTTTTTTTTTTTTTTTTTTTTTTGACAGGCAGAGTGGACAGTGAGAGAGAGAGACAGAGAGAAAGGTCTTCCTTTTCCGTTGGTTCACCCTCCAATGGCCGGCGCGCTGCGACCAGGCACCGCGCTGATCCGATGGCAGGAGCCAGGTACTTATCCTGGTCTCCCATGGGGTGCAGGGCCCAAGCACCTGGGCCAT